GAGATAGGAAAAAGGGAAGGGGCTAGACTCGTGATGGGAGGAGAGCCACCACAGTCCGAGGACTGTCGAGGAGGTTATTTTATTCTCCCCACGATTTTCGCTGATGTGGAGTCAAGCATGACCATTGCTCAAGAGGAGATTTTTGGACCTGTACTTTCTATCATAAAATGGACTGACGAGGAGACGCTTTATCAACAAGTTAACTCGGTTGAATACGGTCTTTCTGGGGCTGTCTTCACTTCGAACATGTCCACGGCACAAAGAGCGATCAGACGCATAGAAGCTGCTACGGTATGGGTCAATACAGCCGCCACTCACTTTCTAGGGATGCCGTGGGGTGGTTACAAGCAGTCCGGCATTGGAAGGGAGGACTGTTTTGAAGAAATGGTTGAGATGACTCAGCGGAAAGCTGTCCACGTATTGCTTTAGAATACTTCTAGGCTTCAAAATAGACAGAGTTCAGGCGTAGTGCTGATATTCTATGACTTTACTGCTGACACTGTGGAAGGCTTTCTCAGCACTTTCTAGTAGTTTCACGCTAGCCAGCAGATCCCTTCAGGTGCTGAGGCTCGTGGCCCCCGGGCAGAATCCCCCGTGCATGGCCCACGACCCTATCTCGTGGCCTTACCCCGATGCTGGTTCCGACATCCCCGACCGCCAATTCGAGCGTGGTCCATCCGGCTCATCACGACGAAGTTCATATTTCAATGTGTGTCTTAGCTTGTTTATTCCACATTTCGCCCTCAGCCAACTAGTTAACCCTGAAGACTTTCAAACATGCCGACAATCCTTGGTCGACAAGTAGGTCCTACAGGCTTCGGCCTTATGGGCCTGACACGAGCGAACGCAACACTCCCTCAGGAGGAAGCATTCGCCGCTATGAATGCTGCCCTAGAGAATGGAGCTAATTACTGGAATGGGGGAGAGTTCTATGGAACCCCTGAGTATAACAGTTTACATCTCCTCCGCGACTATTTCACGAAATACCCCGAAAAGGCTTCCAAGGTGGTGTTGGCAATTAAGGGAGCTCGTGTACCAGGCGCCGTCAAGTTCGATGGCAGCGAGAAAGGCGTCCGACGATCTGTCAATGAATGTAACAGAATTCTTGCCGGAACCAAAACTCTGGATATCTTCGAGTGCGCCCGTGTCGACCCTGAGACTCCAATAGAAGAAACGATAAGAGCCCTAGGACAATTAGTAAAGGAGGGCATGATTCAAGGGATTGGCCTCAGTGAAGTCAAGGCCGATACTATTCGCCGTGCTGCGAAAGTCCACGAAATTACCCAAGTCGAAGTTGAGCTCTCCCTCTGGTCACCCGATATCCTCTACAACGGTGTTGTCGATACCTGCGCTGAGTTAGGAATCCCTATAATCGCGTATGCCCCTCTCAGTCGCGGCGGCCTAACTACGGATCTACCTGAAAGGGAAGAGGACTTACCACCGCATCTGAAGATGTATCCAAGATTTCGAGGAGCCGCACTACAGGCTAATCGTCAACTTACTCAAGAAGTCCGCAAGCTAGCTGCTGGGATGGGTTACAGCGTTCCGCAGATCGCTATCAGCTGGGTTCGAGCTCAGAGCAAGAGAAAAGCAAATGGCACAATCATCCCGATCCCAGGCGCTGAAAAGGCAGAATGGGTAGCAGAAAACTGCAAACTAATCGAGCTTGCGGAGAAAGATTTGCAAGCGCTCGAAGATATCGTGAAGAGGATACCCATCCAAGGTGACAGATATGGTGCAGCTGAGAACAAACTAAGCGAAGGTTGAGGCTATCGCGCAGTCTGCAAGATCAAAGGACCAAGTTTCATAGAATGCCAGAAGAATTCACGAATGCAGAGCAAGAAATTCCAGTAGACATACGTTCGTAAGTCAGATCAAATTTGAGTGGCCATGCCTTTGCTATGCCTACGACCTCTTGACTGGTCTTTATCAGTATAGCTCGGAGTTCTGGGCACGGGAAGTCTCGAAAATTGATGAGAGTATCTAGCAAATGAGCATCAACGATTTTTGTCCAAAATCTGCTGCAAATCCTTGTACCATGTACTGTGTGACCACCCGTTCAAGCTTCCCGGGTACTGGGGCATCGGCTCGACCAGAAATGAGTCATGTGCCAGAGCTACAAAGACCTGTCCCGTGGTTTCAATCTGTCTGATCTTCTCCAGGGTCTCCGCTGCAGCCTTGGGATCGCTGTGGAAACACCTTCCAAGAGGTCCATCTGTCACACTCATCGGTCGACTACCCAAGAGAATCGAGCGATGATGACAACAATCACCTCCCATGAATACCCACTCGTTTGTCCCAGTTAGCGCCAGCCCGCCCAAATGTCCCACCATGTGACCAGGAGTATCAAGCAGATAGAAGCTGCCGTCACCAAAGTAGTCGTACGCGCGGTCGAATGGCCCGAGTGGCGACCATTTATCGGCCTCAAAATTGAGTTCTCGGAGCTTCGAATGTTGAGCGATGGCGCTGGAGTAAGGAGACTTTGGGTTAACAGGCCATCCCTCTCCATTGGCAGCTTTTCCTCCAGGCCCAATTACTATTTCTGCATCAGGAAACTTCGTGCAGTCTCCAACGTGATCGAAGTGGAGATGGCTGAGTACGACAGCGTTGATGTCAACGGGGGCAACCGGGCCGCGGGAAAGAATGTCGACAGCATCTTCTGCAACAACAGGTGTGATTACGTGGAAAAGGCTGCGTATGAGTTCAGGAACTTGGTCAAAATCCTAGTATTCCTACTAGTCAGCCCTTGTCAACGAAGCAAAATCACCGTGGGATTTGATGTTGTACTTTTGTTAGACCCAAATCAAATAGAACGTTTTTCCCAGAATGATGACGGATGAGGAAGCTGAAATCTGGGTAAGGCTTTCGAGACCCCATAAGATCTTCGTCGCCGTCCTCGAAAAGCCATCTCTCTGGGTGATGCAACTGTCCCGTTGCCAGTGCGCATACCTCGACGGCCTTCACGCCAGCACTTGATGGTAGTTGAATCATCTTCGCTGCTATGGAATACCAAGACGAGACCCGCGATGCTCGTAGGCAGTGGCAAAGGATGCGTCAATGATAGGATTAAGATTGAGAAAGACTCGCAGGATAGGGATCTGTCTCCGTTTGCTGTTCGCGCATATCATGGCCTTTGCCCGCAAGCGGTCTTAGGGGATTTTTCAGACGTGTTTGAGACTCAAGCGGGGGATTCGTGGGGATGGACGGCTGAGAGCTCCTTGATTGCGTCCATAATCCTCGGGCTTGGCTGTTCGGTTGGGGAGTCTTTACACCCGCGCACTTCCACATCCCCCCATTCCCCGTTCGTTGCCGTATAGATTTTGGTCGCCAATAGGGACCTCTGTAGAACGACGTTCATGACGTTGCTCTCGCACCTGCTAACCCGAAACTCCGAGGATGCTCATAAGGGGGTGATGCCGGTACTCTCCACGTTCCGTCAGACTCTACAGAAAGGAAGCAACATTTCTTAACCTCTGCTGTAATAGCACTGAGCTACTTGAAAGTGGGGTCTGAAGTGACGACATCTTTCGTATCATCATCATGGCCTCTAGCGACTTTGACGCAGATATTGCGACACCGGGGAGCAAAGATACACAACAAGCTGTCTTCGTGAAAGACGTTGGATCAAATGCCCAGTTCTCCGTACAGACAACCAGCCTTCCCCCATTCGGAGACGATGAAGTCCTCATTCGGGTATCGCACAGTGGCCTTTGCCACACCGATGTCGCCTTCGCGTACGGTGAGTGGCAGCAGCTCGGCTTTGGGATGTCTAATGGCAATTGCACGCCTGGGCACGAAGGGGTGGGACATGTCGTTGGCGTCGGTGCCAAAGTTACCAATTTGAAACTTGGCGACAGAGTTGGCACAAAGTGGTTGCGACGTGTTTGTGGAGAATGCAGTTGGTGTATGAAAGGGGACGAGCATCTCTGTGCTCAAGGTCAGATCTATGGGCAGGCTTCGTCCGGGTCATTGCAGCAGTATGTTGCCTCGCAGGCCAAATTCACTCCTATCATTCCTGATGCCATCCCGATGGAGCAAGCTGGTCCCCTGTTGTGCGCAGGGGTCACGATATTCCGTGGAATCAAGCTGTGCAATGCCACACCGCGGGATTGGATCGTCATTTCTGGTGCTGGTGGTGGCCTCGGCCATCTTGGAGTCCAGTTTGCAGCCAAGATGGGTATCAGGATAATAGGGATTGACTCAGGCGACAAGAAGGACTTCTGTCTTTCCCTTGGAGTCGACCACTTCATTAATTTCCAAGTCTGCCAGGACATCCCAGCGGAAGTTGCACAAGTCACCGGGAGAGGCGCAAAAGGAGTCCTTGTTCCTGTGGGCACACCATCTTCCTACCAACAAGCCACGCGGATGTTATGCCCAGGTGGAACTCTGGTCTGTATTGGCTTGCCACCGGGATCATTCACCCTACCTCTTCAGCTTATTGAGATCATCAGTGGAGGCTACACTGTTACTGGGGTGAATGCGAGCAGCCTCAGGCATATTCAGGAGACCCTGGAATTTGCTGCTCAACACCAGGTATTGCCTAAAACGCAAGTACTTCCGTTGGAGGAAGTCGGACAAGCTTTCAAATCTTTAAAGGACGGGAAGGCAAAAGGGAGAGTTGTTCTGGACCTCCGATGAACATAGATCAGCCGAGCCTTCTACGGATTTAGCGCTTACTTCAACTACATAGCCCTACGGTCGGCCAGTCGACTTTGCTATCCATCTAAGGTGTTTGGGACTTGTTAATTATTCAGATTCATCATATGTCCACTTCACGTGAGTTTAACACATTGGCAAAGAAAGTACGCGGCTAGATAGAAACGGGGAAGAGATTGTTATTCTTGAGTACATGATGAATTAGAGATCATGCCATGGCTGCCTTCATCTTTCCCTCACAAACTTTCAGGCATGTATGGGTTCGGTAGTACCCGTAAATGCCATAGTTGAAAACAACTATTCAACTTGTTGGGCGACTCCCATACTCTAGACACACTCATCCTTTAGTAAGTGTATCGATAAGATGGATGCTTCGACCCCAGCTCGGCCTGTTCGCTCTCTGGAAGAGCAAGGAGATGGTCCCTTGCGCCGCGTGCTTTGGCCTTGTTCTCGTGAATCGCATGGAATAGATATCCGGTTGCGGCTGTTTGTGCTAGTATGACCGTCACGAGGGCCACCGAGTACCCGGTGGTGTACCTAGGCGCTTCTGCAGCCAGGAAGATAAAGCTGCCCATAATACTGCCGGTGTTGCCAATGGCTAGGATTGCTGCCGAGGCCACACCTCGTCGCTTCTTTCCCACGCTGTTGTTGTTCAACCAGGTCATTGTCATTGCCAAAGCTGCCCAACAGCCCGAAACAACAAAGAACGTAGCCATATATCGAACCCCCAGTGCCAAGTTTCGTTGACCAAGGAGGAGTGCATAGCCGATAACGGAGAGGCAAAGGGGGAAGAAGAAGAAAGGCCAACGCCGGTGGACTTTGTCAGACGCGAAACCATTGAATATCTGGAGGATCCAGGCCACAAGCCAAACAGGTATGCTCATGTACTGCGCCTTGATTGAAGTCCATCCGAACTGCCTCAAGATGCTGGGCAAGAAGAAAGAGGACGCAGCCCCAGTGACGGAGGTGCCAAAGTACATGGTAGCACTGTTCCGCTTCGTCAGTAGCAATTCAAATGGTTGAGAGAGGTCGACGTACCAGAACAAAATCTTCGGGTCGGTGAAGGTTTCCTTGAGTACCTCAACAGTCGTCTTGTTTTCCACATACTCTCCGGTATCGCGCGATAGCTTGGCAATCAAAATTGCGCGCTCGTCGTCCTTGAGAAATCTGGCTTGTTCAGGCCAATCGGGTAGAACGAAGAAAGTCAATATTCCGACGCCCGTAGTGAAGGCTCCTTCTATGATGAAGATCCATCTCCACGCCGAATATCCCGAGGTGCCGTCCATGTGTGCAATCGCATAAGCCAGTAGCTATGAAAAGAATCAGTTTCCGGAACAATGCCGAAGATATGCCACACTCACCCCTCCGAAGGCTCCACAGAGGGTACCAGCAGAGTACCAGAGACTCATTCTCGTGTGCAACTCGTATCGAGTGTAATACATGGCCATCATGTAGATTGCACCCGCCAGAAAACCAGCCTCAAAACATCCAAGGAGTACGCGACATACAATGAGCCCAGCGTAGCTTTGAGTCACGCCTTGACACACGGTGACGATACCTATAGAGTGCCACGTCAGCCTATTGATGAGGTTCCACAGCTGTAGAGACTAACCCCATGAAGTGCAGAGAGTTCCAAGATACAGCGAAGGGCGAAGTCTCTTCATGAGAATGTTCAAAGGTACATCCAGCACAATGTATGGGATGAAAAATACAAATAGTGCGATATTGTAATCTGTCCCCGTCATACCAAGATCCGCCTCGAGACCTTGGATTCGAGCATTGCCAATATTTGTGCGATCTAGGTATGCAACCATGAGCAGAACGCAAAGCATTGGCATGAGACGGAAGTCGACCTTGACTCGAATTTTGTGCTCGGCTTCATGGTCGATGTCTCTTGGCCTGTCAATATGTTCGATGTTATGGTCGGAAATCTCCTTGTCGTGCTCAACGAACTCTTTTACAGGCTCGGTGTCGCTTGCTTGCGTCGGAGTTGCTTGTGGAATTGCCATAACGTGTTGATGGGTACTGCGTCTCACCACTGTTCGGGACAGTACTTCGATCTCTCGTAGTTACAGTCTATGAATAGGATGGGCCATTGATGATATTTATGTCGTCGTCTCGTCGACTGGGGTCTAGACAAGGGCTGGATCTGGGAAACCCCAGATCCGGATCTTGCGAATCGCCCTTGACGACCAACGTGGAGAAAGTGAAACATGGGGATGAATCCGGGGATCCCGGGTATAGCTTAGGGAGTTGTCTACGGCAATGCGTTCCGGTGCCATTCCGGTGTTGCCCACAACCCGAGCAAGACTAACATAGAGCGGCAACCCCGACTTGGCACACAAAGCGGCAGTATTGCCAAATGCTAGGAAAACCGAGGCTTGAAATCTCCTAAGAAAGATCAAGAAAGTTAAGCAAAAACGTTATCCGTCCCACATCCGTGGAGATACTTCGTGAAGCGCGATCGTTTATAAAGCTGGGCATTGTGATGGAAAAAGTCAAAACCGCTTTTATTCAAACTCTCTTGTCCGTAATTCGCTGTAATCCGGTCTGCTTCCATTCGCCATGACTTCAGCTCGAGAAACTTCCTCATTTGATTTGAAAGATGACGCCCTCCACACCGAGGAGGCAATGGGCGTCGTTCTCAATGAAGATCCGCTGTGGAAAAAGCGGGAGAGCCGTGTCCTCAGAAAGCTCGACATTTTCATCGGACCATATCTTGCAGTTCTGATGATCCTCTCCCATCTCGATCGCAGCAACATCGGATTTGCCACCACTCAAGGGATGGCGGTTGACATAGGACTCTATGGCAATCGATTGAATGTAGGTCTATCTGCTCGTTTCCTGTTCTTTGCGCTTACACCATGCTTGACAGATTGCCGTCTCCATCTTTTACGTCTTTTACGTCTTAGTCGAAATCCCAGCGGCTATGCTGGTCAAAAGACTTCGGTTTGACCTTGCAATCCCTGGAGTGGCTGTCGCTTGGGGTGTGATTTGTCTCTGCAATGGCTTCGTTAACAACTTCGCCGGGCTCGTGGTCTGTCGCCTCCTGCTCGGATTCTTCGAAGGCGTGCTGTTTCCTGCAAATATTCTCATGATGGCAAACTGTGAGTAATTCAGACCCCCCTCCCTTGATATCAAAGCCCCCACGGATGGTAAGCTCACCCTCATATCAGGGTATACGCGTGAAGAGCTCGGAAAGAGACTAGGCTTCCTCTTCGTGGCTCTAGCTCTGGCCAGTGCTTTCGGCGGCTTGATTGCATTTGGAATTCTGTACATGGATGGAGTGTCTGGTTTACGGGGATGGCGGTGGCTGTACATCATAGAAGGTCTCATCACTGTTGTTATCGCTTTTGCTGGGTTCTGGATCCTCCCAAAAGATTATAACACTGCGTATTTCCTCAATGATGACGATCGAGTCGTCATGAGACGTCGGGCGGAGCTCACCGAGCAGTATAACGGAGGTCAGGGCCATTATACTCGCAAAGATTTCAACATGGCAGTCATGGACATCAAAACCTGGATCCACGGAATCGCTCAGATGTGTATCATGACAGTCATGCTAGGTGAGCACTACACAGTCCAAAATACTTATTCTTGCATATCGCTGATGCCAAAAATAGGATTCGCGGTCTTCTTACCTGTTATATTGAGGACAGGATTTCAATACTCACTCAAGGAAGCGCAGTACTTGACAGCCCCAGGTAAGACATTCCTTGTCATGCTGAAAAACTACCGACTTATACTCCTTGCAGTCTTCTGTTGGGGTGGGATAGCTTATCTTGCCGGTGCTTGGCTGTCAGACAAATTTCGCAACAGGTTCTGGTTTGTGACAACTGGTGCGTTGGTCGGAATCGTTGGATGCTGCTTGTTGCTCGCTTCGAGACACGTATCGGTTGGGGTACAGTACTTTGCCTGTTACCTTATCTCGACTGCACTCTTCAGTTGTAGTGGAGGCAACATTGTCTGGACCTCTTCAAACAGTGCGCCTGATGGCAAACGAGCAGCAACAGTCGGAATTCTTTTGGCACTGACCAATATTGGTACGTTCAATTTCCAAGGCTTTACTAGGAAGAGCTCTTTGCTGAAACCTGACTCTCCGTAGGTGGAATTATCTCCGGGCAGATTTATCGTACGGCTGATGCCCCATACTTTACATTTGGTCACTCTTGGTGCTTAGGGAGTCTTGCAGTGGCATTATCTGGCTATGTGATTATGCACGTAATCTATGCCCGCCGGGAGACCTGGAAAGATCAGATGATTGCAGAAGGTCGCGATTTCCCACCAGAAGATTTCAGCGATCGATATCCCTCTTATAGATATCAGAGATGACGTAGGAATTCTGGGGTGTAAGGATTGGTGCATTGATGCAAGATATCAAGTGCCAAGTCACCAAAGAGATGTTTTCAACTCCGAGCTTGCATCTTTATGGGTCTCTACCCAATCCAAATATTGTCAGCTTTGAAGTTCACGGTTTCCACTTATCTTAATCTTTTTTGTCTAGCTAAAGAGCTTAATAGATCTACACGGAGGGAGTCCACAGGGCCATCTATTAAGGGTCGTAAGGTTTCTGGCTGTGTGTACACCTATGGACACAAACAGACATGTTTGTTGAAGACAAACTCTTCGACCCCGTATCCCCCACCATTACTTCCCCATCCTGAGCCTTTGTAGCCTGTGACAGGTGCCGTTGATGAAACATGAAAAGTAAAGGCGTTGATCTGAACTTGACCAAAGTCTAGCTCACGTGCCAGTTTCAATGCTCTCGAATAGTCCTTGGTGAAAATAGATGCCGAAAGACCGTACTCAGTGCTGTTTGCGATCTTCAGAGCTTCTTCATCAGTCGAGAACGTGGATAACGTTGCAGATGGGCCCCATATCTCCTCTCTGCTCATCCGAGACTTTGGGGACACGTTGCCCACGATCGATGGTTGCAGAGACGCTCGGCCTATTAGTTGATTATCCCCTGCCAGTATTTCGGCGCCTTCTGCAACTGCCTCTGCCACGAGGGAATGTGCTCTTTTAGCGGACTCGGGGGTGATCGCAGCCCCCGCACCGGGACTCGCTTTTAATGCCTGTATGAGTTCTTCCAAGAAAGAATCTTTGACTTTCTCATGAACGAGAAGTCGCTCAGTGCCGAAACAAACCTGGCCGTGATTGATGATTGCTATTATGAAGTCAGTCAACACCATGTAGGAAAGACGTCATAGGAGTCTCACATCCCAAGACGCATTTTTGTGCAGCAGCTTTGAGATCTGCGTCTTCAAGAACAATGGCTGGACTCTGGTCTCCGAGTTCCATGAGGATAGGCTTCAAGTGCTTTGCAGCAGTGCCTCCTATTACTCGTCCGACATGAGGGCTGCCCACAAACTCGATCTTGCGAAGTGCAGGATGTCCAATCACGGCCTCGGTGACGGCAGCAGCATCCTCTCGCGAACACTGAATCTGATTCAAAACTCCATCGGGCAGGCCTGCCTCTTTGAAGACCTCAAGAATAAGGCTGTGAGACCACGGTGAGAGCTCGGACGCTTTCAGAACGACTGCACATCCTGCCGCTAGCGCAGCGCTGATTCCTCGACAAGCCATTATCATCACAGCATTCCATCTACAACGAGATTAGCCTTTGTCACATATAGAAAGGATTTCATTCCAACTACGGTGGTATAATCAAGACCACCCCCACAGGCTCTCGAAAGATGAGGGATGTGTTTGTACCATCGTCAGATGGAGGAATCTTCCCGCAAAGCGTCATACCGGTTGCTGCATTCTGCCGGATGGCCGTCGCTGCAAGCCCACAATCGAAAGCAGGCCACTGCTCACTGCAACTTGTCTCTGCGACAATTCGTTTGGTCGCTTCGTCTGACTTGGCCTCCAGAATATCTGCTGCCCGGTTGAGAATGTCGCGCCGTTGCAAAACAGGTGTTTTCTTCCATGTTTTGAACGCCTGGGCTGCAGCCTCGACAGCCTGAATCCCAACATCGGCGGTTGCACTTTGCCCAAAATGGACCGTCTCTCCAGTGACAGCTGACACAACCGGAAAGTTCTGCGTTTCAGGCAGTGATACTGCGGTACCGTTGATCACGCAAGGCACAAACATGTTTGACACAAGTAACTGTATTTCGATCTCGAACTTCTCTATTGCAAGCAGAATACAGAGCTCGGCACAGTCTTGATTGCATGAGTCTTGCACTTCATATTCCATCGATCCATGTGTTCTTGGGGCCTTGGATGCAGCCCGCAACTCCAGAAATGTGGAGAATTGACAAGGTCTCCATGAGCCAGGGATAGACGGCGGGGAAGCCGCGGAAGCCGGGTATAGCTGCCGAAAACTCGCGACGCTTAGCTGCTTAGCCGCGGGGCCAAGTCGAAGCATGGGTGGCATTCCCGAAGAGTCTAAACTTATGAGAAAGGCGGCAGAAAGCAGTCTTAGAGCTCCGTTGCTCCACGTGCAGTGGCAGAATCACTCTCAAGGTACATGATTTCACATCCGAGTATCGAATCGGTGTAAGATAACTTTGCTGGGCATTTTTCAAGATGGCCGATAATCATGCGAATGGTACGTCCTTACCCAGTAGCACTACTCCGTACTAGGACAGACTTTAGTAACTGTGGCAGTGTATAAGAAACCACAGCATCAACTCAGCGTCGTTATCATTGGGGCAGGTCTCGCAGGATTGGCGCTGGCAGGGCTTTTGGGAAAATCGGGACACAATGTCGTTGTTCTTGAAGCAGCACCACAGATTTCCGAAGTAGGCGCAGGCCTTACTTGTGCACCAAACCTGACGCGTTTGCTGAGTCGGTGGGGATTGGATGGTTCTCTTCGCCCCAAGACAGATGCTCTTCAACATGTTAGCCTGCGACGTTGGCAAGGCGGTGAGGTTTTGGGCGCATCGCCACTGATGCCAGAGGTGGAACGAAGATATGGCGCCCCTCAATACGTGGTTCATCGAGCGGATGTCCACACTGCCCTGATGCATCAGGCTGCCGGGAGTGCCGATATCCAGATAAACAGCACGGTCGTTGCTATTGATTTTCAGAAACCTTCGGTCACGCTTGAAGATGGCAGAGTGATCGAGGCAGATTTGATTGTCGGTTCGGACGGTATGATTGTTATTTCTCTTGCTCGGGCTAAGACTGAAAAAAGGGACAGGGATGAAATCAACCTGTCGTAAGTTGATGTACGAGCAGCTCGGTCAAATCGACAAAGCCATACCGACAGGAGATGCTGCCTTCCGCGCGTGCATCCCATTGGAAAAGGTGACCGATCCTGACCTTCGAGAATTCGTGCAACGACCAAACGCCACGAGGTGGATGGGTGCAGGCCGACATGTGCAGGGTTACCCTATCAGACACGGAGAACTGTACAATTTGGTAAGCAAGATTCGATTCAAATCAAGCATGACTGACGAGTGGGACAAGGTCATGTGCCATCCCGACCCTGGGTTTGCGGAAGAATCTTGGACAGCAAAAGCGTCCAAGGAAGATATGCTCCGTCAATTTGGAGACTGGGATCCTGGTTTTCTCCGAAAGTTGGTGGATTTGATTCCCGATGACAATATTCTAATTTGGCAACTGTGCCAACATGAACCTTTGCCTACATGGGTGATGGGCAAGCTGGTCCTGATGGGAGATGCATGTCACCCGATGCTGCCCTACGTCGCACAAGGTGCTGCGCAAGCAATTGAAGATGCCGCAGTTCTCCATCTTGCCCTGAATTGTGTTTCCAGTGCCGATGAACTGCCTGTCCTTCTTAAAGCGTACGAATTGGCGAGGAAACCCCGTGCGGAGCACATCATGAGCGTTGCTGGCGACAATCGGGTGGGTTTACATCTCCCCGACGGCCCGGAACAGGAAGCACGAGACGACAAGTTTAGACTTCTGGCACAAGGAGGAGACAATCCAGATCTTTTGGGCAATGATAAGACGCAACTGGCATTGTGGGGTCACGACCCCGAAAAAGAATTTCTGGAGAACCGTGAAGGTGAGTCTACAGCTTTCTCGACAGATAACTGAACCCTAATGAAGATATACAGCCCTCATCGAGCAAGCGCGCCAACTGATCATGTCTGGAAACACTCGGGAAATCTGAAGGATGAATGAGCTGCGCCGGATCGGGCAAAAATGGGACATTCTGTGAGCGAGCTGCATGTGTAATGTCGAATCATGATCAGAACCCTCCTTCGAGTTCCGGGAGTAGATTCCATTACATAGCTAAAGTTTGATGAGAGGCATGATGCTGTCAATGAGTGTATGTGTATGCTTGGTGTTTCAGCCCGTCCTTAGGAGATGCAGGAATAGAGCAAACCAGGGTACTTAGGGATACAAACTGGCACAAGGATACCCAGCGTTGTAATTTCTCGCCTTCTACGAGATTTCAACCTTGGGATTCATTGCATCATCATCATATATAGCGTGTAGCCCCCAGCCTCTCACCGGGGCGATCAAGCCTTACTCATCTCCGCTTCTCAGACGTGTTGCTTCTCCACACGGTCCACCTGAGATCAAGGACCATGCCTGATGTATTGGCTAGTCTACCATGCTCATAGAAAAGAGAAAAGACGAGAATGGAAGGAGGGAGAAGGAAGAAAATCCTCCATGATATCCTTTGGATATAAATTATGGAAGGACCCTCGAGGAGCCATCGATCGCCCAACACTAGAATAGCACATCGACCCTCTCACAAACCCCGATTATAAAGTAAGGAGTGCGATATCGGAGACGATAACGTGACGCTTAGGGTGGCATGTTCTTTCCAATCATATACTATAGTATCTATGGCCCAGATTGTTCTAAACCTTCAGCAAGGCGACTTGGGGTAGGCCAGGCACATAATGCCAAGTCCAGTGTTTATTGGCATTGCGGAGGAATGCGGAGGAATGCCGCCGCACCGGAGAAATGCGGGGTAATGTAAGGCGGAAGGAACGGAAGCTTGCCCCGACCACTACCAGCAAGAACGACCTCGGAAGGGGCTTAGGAATATCAACGGCCTCATCCCCGTCAGCCCCAGACTCCTCTTCTCGTCCGACACGTTCTTCAGAAGCGGTGGTTGTTCCGGATATGTCCAATCTAGTCGGCAGCTACGAATACACGGGCTCATTTGACCTGCAAGAGAACATGAGGAATCGGAGCTCGTTTGACGGAGACGATGGCCCCGGGCCCAAACGGCAAAGAACGGCCCTGGCCTGTAATTCCTGCAGGTATCGAAAATCACGTTGCGATGGTGCCCATCCAGTCTGCTCCACCTGCCGCTCACAGAACTTGGAATGTGTATACAGGGGCCCCGCCCCCGCGGCACCTCAATCCTCTATGGATCCACAGTCCTTAGAGAGGAGGTTCAATCGATTTGAGAGCAACATTCAGAATATAGAGAGCAGATTCTCGAGGATCGAGGACATACTGCTCTCTCTCACAGGCAGGCAACAGCCTGGCGACGATAATACTGCCACCATTCGAGCTGCAGTTGCCCCAGATGCCCCTGCAAACGACGCCTCGCTCTCGACTCGCGTCAATCCTGCCCTACCAACCCCGAGTAATAGCGATGACCGCTCTAATCAGTCAAGGACGAATACTCACGAACCCATGTCGAGACTCTGGCCTGTGATCATCCAAGAAGATACCGTGGACGGAATGGGCAGCATCATCTTTGCGGATGAGGCAAAGTCTGGCTTTTTCGGCCCTTCTTCAAATTCCTCATTTGTCAGCAAGGTCGCCAAAGCTCTCGCTTCAGGGTCAGGCCCAGTTCGAGGAGGTCGAGACTTCTCTCGAGATCTTGAAGGTAAACTGTCACGGCCTTCATCCCCACCATCTCTGACCAGGGGCACTGCTGCTGGCGTGGATCCTTACGTCTTGCCTCCACGTGGAGAGAGCTCTAGACTCGTCGAAATCTTCTTCTCCTTCACCGGCCGGTTCTTTCCATACATTTCTCGAAGCATGCTTACTCAAGTTCTCAGCGAGCTTGATCCAAATCGACTAAGTGGTGTACGGAAGTCTACCTTATGTCTTCTCAATGCCGTTTTCGCCATGGCAACTAGTCTTGATCGCCTATCAGGGCGCCCCGCGAAGCAACGAGATACAGAATCCGATATCTTCTTCCAACGAGCCTTGGTGTTGTCGCCGTGGACGATCTCGAACACTGCCAACTTGGAGACTTGTGGGTTGCAATTCTATCCGTCATGATTCATCTCGATACTGAAGCATAATTCCAGTACAAGCATTAACCGTAATGACGCAATATCTCCAAGGCTCATCAAGATCAGCACAGACATGGAAGTTGCATGGCCTCCTTGTCCAGGCTGCATTTCAGCTAGGGGTCTACACGAAAGACTCCAATTGTAAATTGTCTGCCTTTGAACAGGAAATTCGGACGAGGATCTGGTTTACCTGTGTGATACTTGACAGGTCACTTCATCGCACTTTCAGCTTCTGCTCCACTGGCTGACTATCTGAAGGATTTTCGCCACTACATTCGGCCGACCTCCATTGATCCACGATGAACTTACACACATGGACATGCCACTTGATGTGGACCTTGACGACCTCCCTAAGGATCGTTCACCATATCAACCGCTCACCGATCCTAACAGAGAACCTTCTTCGTGTATTATCTTTAATCCCAGCATGTAAGCAGGCTTGATAAGTTTGCGACTTGTGGCGCTGATTAACACTTCTTAGACGTCTTTATTGCCTGCAGGGCGAAATTCTCAGCAAAGTTTACAACGGAAACAAGACCGATTCTCCTGGTCTGCCGCAAGGGGAGCTGTTCAGCAGGATCATCGAGATCGATTATGAACTAGAACGTTGGAAGTCCGCGTTACATCTTTCAACAAGTCTGATTCCGCTCGAATTTCTGGAAGGAATGGACCCTGATAATTGGGTCTATTCGAAAGTTCAAACAGTCCTCACCCTCCGATTTCTGAGTGTTCGCATCTTGCTCTTTCGAAAAGCCGTAGAGAACACACTTGACTCAATCACAAGTGTCGGGGGTGTTCTCAAGCCGATTGACTGTTCGATGCCTGTGAGCAAGATGATAATCCAGGGTTGCACTGAGGCATGTATGCAGACAATAACCATCATCTGCAAACTTGGCCCCAAAGCGCATCTCCTTCCTGCTTGGTGGTATTCAGCATATTATGGTGAGTCGATCGAATGGAGCAAACAGCCTACTCGGGTGCTGACTTGTCCATAGTCTTCAGTTCAGCATTAATCATTTTCGGCATCATCTGTTTGCAAACGTCTGGAGATACAGATGTGGGGACTAAACCTGCAGCAGAGTTGCTAGTATGTCTCCAAACAAGCCTAGGTGCGCTTGACGTGATTGGAAAGGAGACCCGGATTGTCCGAAGATGCTCCAAGTATCTACGAAAAATGGTTCAAGTTTCTACACTTCTCGGTATGTCTCCCTTCAAAAGCAGAAAAGATTGAGGAATTGAAGTCTAATGTATTGATCAAGTGCGAAATCATGTCCCTCCTCAGCAGCTCGGCACAGACGTGTCTGCACTCATCAATTCTTTGCCCGTCGGCCACCCACCTTCAACGATCGATGGAAGTGATCAATCGCCGTTTCAAACAGAATTTGGTCCGTTCTTAGTGGACGAGGACTATGCCTTTCTGGATGCCTGGTCAGACCTCAATTTCTAGACGATCAATTAATTTAATTCTATCGGACTCATGGCACTCTCAACTTGTTGAGCAATGGAGAAGAACAAGGTTCCTCATAACTCTTTTACCCCTTCAACATTCCCATTTCATATCTATCTGGGTGACTAAGGCTGATCATCATGGACATACAAGTTTACTGCTTCTACCTCGCGGACCCATAGACCCCATGCCCGCTTCCAGCCTGTTTCCGCTATGCTGCCGGCTGCGGGCAACTCGTCATCATGGAGGTATTCAAGCTTCGGTGCATGCCCCGAGGCCGATTGATATGCTGCTCCGAGAAGAAGACTCTGTGACTGGACCGCAGCATTCTCTCTTGTGTATATTGCCCTGTACACACACTCTTCAATGCCTTGAGCTGCTACTGTATATCCATGTCCACGCATGAGAACAACAGAAGCATTAATGTCGAGCTTTCGATCAGTGGCGGTATCAGAATTGGTCGTGCCAAAACAGGTAGCTAGGGATTCTCCCAGCTTGGTGTTTCTGATCAAAAGATCTCGGACAGAGTCGCGGTCGTAGTGTTTTGCGATATCGTACACAGGTGTACCTGCGCCTGTGGATGTGTGAATTATCTCACACCGGGTTTGACGGGGCAAACCTACCCAAGAACCCTGCCATGTGCAGACATGCTCTCAAAGGAACACCTGGTTGAAAACGTTAGGAATCTCTACTCATGCTGACACAAATCTGCGACTCACCTGAGATGGTATAAGGTATGACGGCGCTGGCGTGGCTGTGAATGACACTTTTGATTGCCGGAAATCGTCGATATATTTCGCTGTGAATAAACCTCTCAATGTATCCAGGAGGGGCATTGGCATCAACAGCGCTGGCATCAGCCACATTGTACTCGACAAGATCCTGTGCTGAGGCGATATTTGCAGGAGCTACGTTACGGGGCATGATGAAAGTCTCCGGCTTCAGTGGATGCCGAAACGATAGATGTCCGTAGGCGTCCAAGATCCTGCCCTCAGTCAATACGATCACATTGTTCAGAGCCAGTTTAGGAGTGACCATCTCGAGGCAGTTTGTTGCTCACCCGTGATGGTGGAGGATATGACTCCCAGTGATGCATTTTTGCTCCCATTCTCGCAGGGCTTCTCGACTTTCTTCTTGCATCCCAACCATCTTGGGTTAAGAATGCAATATTCAAAAGTTCAGACACAGAATCGAGGCAGAATCAACAACTGAAAAGCCTTTACAGCGCTTACTAGTCTCTTTCGTACAAATAGGAATAAAGTCCCACTCTGCAGAACTTAGCCAATACTCCAAGTCATGTGAGGTTTATCTGTACCCACAGATAGATATGCACCGGGTCGTCCGGAGCCTTCCGTTACACCCGTAGCGAGACTGCCCTGAAGCGCACCGTTTACGCTACCCAGGATCCGATGGTTCCCAGTAAACCAAATGCAGTAATCGCACAGGGAAGTGTTTGACTATCTATAAACCAGACGGCGAAGAATGAGTGGTCGACAATTGGTTCAATCTTTTGTTAAGTCATTGTCTTCCTTTGCCCCGGAGAAATCGACGAGAATGTCTTGGAAAAGGCTGATCCATTTTGAGGACGAACATGGGACGCAGGCGTTCGGAGAGCCTGACGTCAAAGACGTCGCCGATTTCTATCTTCAACTTGGGAATGGAAGCCTATCAGCAAATGTGCTTCGAGGCGACGACATGTTTGCACTCCGGGATACGAACGAAAAAATGAGAGTCCAGAAATTGCTTCCCATTCTCACCCCGAAAGATGTGCCTCTGATCAAATGCATCGGCTTGAATTGTAAGAATTCCCTTCATAAGAGATGCTGTACACCACGGGATCACGCTTGCTGGCAAGATCTTCATCTCGGAGCACAATATGATGTCGCAATCGAGTGATCTTCCCAAGACATTTGGCTAACATGGCATAGACATGAAACATAGTAGGTCCTTGTCAAATACCTGTGTCCGCTGCTCTCCAATCCAGCAGATCTGACCAGTGATCAGTCAAGGAGGCGGGCCGGTCACCGCCACCTTACCCGACATTTTTCATCAAACCTAGCCACTCGATTGCAGGTTTCGATGAAGACATTCCTATTCCACAGATTGCCCAGGATGATCAATGCGATTGGGAGGGTGAACTTAGTATCGTTATCGGCAAGACTGGAAAGAATATCAAGAAGGAAGAGGCCTTGGATTACGTGGCAGGCTATATGGCGTCCAACGACGTGTCTGCTAGGAAATGGCAACGAGATCCAGCTTTTGCTGGATCTGTGCCACAATGGGGATTCAGTAAAGGTTTCGATAAATGGGCGCCTGTTGGTCCGATGATTGTCTCTCCTACCGTGGTGGGAGATGCAGGTAATCTGGCCTTGACCACCACGGTTGACGGTGTTGTCAGGCAAGACTCGAACACCAACGACCTCATTTTTGGAGTGCGCGAAATTATTGCCTTTGTCAGTCAGGGGACTACACTTGAGAAAGGCACAGTGATTATGACGGGTACACCTTCGGGTGTAGCATTAGGCATGGCGAATCCGCCATGGCTCAAGCATGGACAAGTTGTTGAAGTGTCGATTGAACAGCTTGGAAGCGTCAAAAACAAAATGCACTTCGAATGAACTACCTATCCCTACATATATAGATTTGATATATGGTGGCTGCAGCAGCTAGGCAAATCCTGAAATATTCTAGAAACCCGGCATGGTGGGAAAGTTCTTTACTCCAGCTTGAAGCAGTCGCTCGTTGTTGCAACGGCTTGCGAAAAAGACCACCTGGGCGGGAATTTTTTGTAATCTATCTCGACGAATTAGCACATTCTACCCAAAGCATCCTTGAACGGATAGCGAAGTGGGACTGACCCCGAATCTATGAGCGACACCCTTATCATCAAATGGTTTCCGCCGTGACGTGTGGGAATCGTCCATAATGTACACCCACACTCGCTACAGAACACCTTGTGCTTGTCATGTCCGCTGGTGGTGTCCTTTAACACGATAGATTTGGTGTAATTTGACCCCGTTATCGTTACTTGACTCTTGTCAAATTTGGCGCACTGTCAGTAGTAAGTCAGTTCATTATGCTATTCTTGGTAGATCCACAGCATGTCCATCTCACGACTTGGAATGGGCCTCCTGCATTCTTTTGACAATGGGTGCAGAAGCATTGTATACAGGTTTCCGGAATGCCCGTGATCTCAAACGCGACCGCGCCACAAAGGCAGGATCCCTGGTTGGTTGTGGTTGAATTGATAGACTCCATCGGCTGTGATTACCGTTCATCGAAAGACGAAGTCGGTGGCCTTCTTCCTGATGTGGTTCCTTTTACAGTCACCACCGCTATTATTACCTATGATCACACTCTCCGTCGCGGTTTGACCCGGCGGGAGATCTGTATGTGGTTCATTGGCGGTCCGGGGCTACCGGTATTGCTGCCGGAAGTGCCGGTCGTGGGAGAAGGGGACTTCGGCAATCAACCAGACTCTCGTCGTACTTTCGTACAAACATTTCAGTGATCCGCGAGAGGAGGGTAGTACGTAAACCGTTAAGAAAGAGAGGTGGATTGCCTGGCTGATATCACCAAAGATCACTTTCCTTGCCTGTGATTCCCGACCAAATAGACATACCCACGACGAGATCCTCAACCTGTCGAACACCATGACCAGCACCACCACCACAGGCTCAGATAAGACCGCAAATGCTCATAGCGAGCAAGTCTCTGGATCTCCAATGGACGCGTATTATACTAGCCTCCCAGGCAAACATGTTGAACCCTTGTGGTTGCATATGAGCCGTCTGGTACCGCCTAGCCCGAATCCCGTGGCGAAGCCCACAATATGGCGGTATGCCGAATTATTACCAGACTTGATGCGAGCGGGCGAGCTGGTGTCGGCGGAAGAAGCTGAGCGGCGCGTCTTGATGCTTGTGAACTCGGCCTTGGAAGCACCTTGTACTACTGACACCATCTACAGCGGTCTGCAACTAGTGCTGCCGGGCGAAGTTGCTCCAGCACATCGACATGTGGCGTTTGCTTTACGGTTTATTATCGAGGGATCACAGGGCTTCACGGCTGTCAGCGGAGAAAAGATTGTCATGGAGAGTGGCGATGTCATCTTGACGCCGAGTTGGAACTGGCACGACCATGGTAACGAGGGCACGGGTCCTGTGATTTGGCTGGATGGCCTCGACTTGCCCTTGTTTCGGTTCCTTCCTCTGAATTTCGCCACCAACTATCCCGAACCGAGATACCCTAGCACGCTCTCTTCCACTAGCAAGGCCGTATACAAATGGGCTCCCGTGGAAAAGGCACTTCGCGAGTCCAAGGGTCAGCATGGTCGATATCACTACCAGCACCAGGATGGAGGCCACCTATCTCAGACCGTTTCGGCCCAGGCGGAACGGATCGCCGCTGGGAGCACCTCCCCGGAGAGTCAGGAGACAGTGTCATTTGTCTATCACGTGGTTGAAGGCGAGGGATATACTTCAGTCCTTGCTCCCAACACTGAAGAGGCGCAAAAGATTGTTTGGTCCTCCAAGGACACGTTCGCGGTTCCCGCTTGGAGTAAGATCACTCACACTTGCACATCAAAAGAGGATGATGCATTCCTTTTTGCAATTAACGATAGACCAATGGTGGAGAAGTTGGGATTATGGAAAGATGCAGCAAAGTTCAAGGCAGACGAAGATCTCATCTGAACATTTTGAAGGCAGAGTGTCGCCGGCGCCTTGTTTGCACTTCACATCGACGGGGGAGGTCATAGGTTTCAGTATGACATATAGGTTCAGACATATGTACGACATACTGTCGACAAGTACCCCAGGAGAAATGTGATGACATTTTGATGGCTTGTCAATGAGCTACTTTCTCACATATTGGCATAGAAAGCTGAGGCTCATGGCCTTCGCTTGATAGCTCCGGCCGGCCTCTATTGTCCCATTTCAAATAAGTCGTTAGGATATTGGCAGCTGTAGAGCCTCCTTCGATACCGATATATTAACCCTATCAGCCACAACCACTCCGCCGCAGGTGGAACCTTGTCCATGGCGACCAGCTGATTAGATGTGTTTTTATCCAGTCGCAGCTTCACCATTCTGCTCCTTTTTCTCTGTCGTCTCTGATGGCACTGCGTCCTTAAACACCGCAAAGCTCGACGGCGTCTCCTCTAACACGGGAAAGTGAAACCCGCACTTAGGACACTGCTCGTGCAACACGGCCTGCTCCTGCGCAAGGTCGTACTTCTTATCCTGCGTCTCGTTACATACCGGGCATATACGTAGTAGCCGGGTACCGACGAGCTCGAAGTTGGTGATAATGTCTTCCATAATGGCGCCATTAGACGCCCACGTCTTGCAGAACTTATGGTACGTGTCTTTATGCCAGTCGTATAGCGCGCCCCGGCTCGTCCAGAAGCTACACTCGTTGTACCAACTGCGATCATCCGGGTGCTCCCACCATGTGAGGTGTAGAAACCCTGGCAGTTTCATTAGATGTCGACGCGTATCGGCGAAGAGTACTTTGAATTTCTCGTACGCATCCGGACTGGAGAAGCGTACTCGCTGCATGCTAAGATAGATTGGCATGGTGTCTCTTTTTAATGGGGGAGTGGGTTTTGGTAAGAGATTCCGTTCGAAGTGGCTGCTGTTGTGCCTCGAGGTGTCTTGTGTAGTTGGATTTGCGTGAGGGAAGAGATAGAAAGAAACTTGATCAGGACTTGCGAGTTGAGTAAGTTACTTGTTCATCCCGACAGATACTTTTGAACTTGAGCGAACCCCGAAGTATCCAAAGATGGCGGCAGACATTGTTATCTGACAAATTAGTATATGAGATGTCGATTTTATCGATTCGATCGAGATAGTCGCGAAGCTTCTTTTGGTGATCTGGTCGTTCAGCCCACGACATTACGACGGCTTGTGTCCAAGGAGGAGCCGCCGAAACGTCAAATAGATCATTTCATACCAAATAGTTATTCGTGACTTGTTGTCTATCGAACTTGAGCCACAGTGTGATCAGCAATGCGTGGAAACGAATTAGGCTCATGTGTGTGGGCCGAGGATCCTTGCAGGGTAAAGCGCGCTAGTCGAATCGTCAAATTCGATGTCAAGTGCGCTGGTAAAGTTAATTCAATGGCGATGATTGGTCCGATTGACTCGCATCGGACTTCCTTGTTCTTACGCGGCCTTCAGTCGTTGATACAGATTCGATTTCGCCAGCTTGGCTTTGAATCTTACCACCTCCCTAACTGTTATCTCATCAGGTAGCCATCAAGCTGGGATAGAGCAAGGCGGCGCTCGCTCTGATCATGGGACGTATCTGTGCAGACGCGCGCACAAGGAATTGCAGGATGGCCTCATGGCATCGAAATTGTCGATTCGACAATATATTGGGTGGAATAGGGAAATGTGCTGACTAGCAATATTGAAGGGTATATATGGAGAGACCAATGTCTCACAGAAAGGATGTTTCAGGCAAGGCACTTGTAACAGAGAAATCATTATCTTTGATTCAATAGGGATAACAAACAAACCAACATGGCACAACCCAAATCTCACGTTGTTCACGGCGAGGTGCAATGCCCTCCTCCGGAGAAGTGGGCTCCTTTCGAATGGGAGGAACCTAAGAGAGGCAAGCAGGTGCACGGAGAGATCTGTGTCGTTCGTCCTTTCGGAGCCTCGGGAAACCTCAGTGCTGGACTCTGGAGGACTAGCGCAACCTCCCCAGGCTGTCAGGCTGACGGCTTCAACATTGTCAACTATTCTGCGCCGCTGGGAGATGAGACAGCCTGTGTTATTGACGGCACCGCCACATTGACTGTCCTTACAACGGGCCAACAATATCGGGTGGGCCCAGGCTCTATCATCAGCTCCCCCAAGGGACTAGAGGTGGAATGGAAGATCGACGGACCATTCTTCAAAAAGTTCTGGTGTATCTGGGATGGAACATCACCGGTCTCAGGTGATCCACTCGAACTTAAGATTAACCATACCAGCGACAACCCGAAAGACTGGATTGAGTATCACTTTACGGAGCCTAAGGAAGGCGACCTTGTCGCGGGTGAGCTTTACTTCATCCGAACCCACGGTTCTACAGGGACTATGCTCAGTGGGGTGTGGCGCTCGGGCAAAGGCATCGCGGCGTCGGACCTCAAGCCTGATGGCACTATGACTACACCCTATACCGGCGTATTGGGCGATGAAACGATACTACTGTTGGAAGGAGAAGTCGACGTGATTGAGACGGAGAGCGGGAAAAAGCATAGCTTCAAGGCGGGAGATGTGATTGGGTTGACATCGGGCATGCACGTCACTTGGATATCCAAGGGCCCCTTCTCGAAAAAACTATGGATCATTACTAGGGATGAACTGCCTACACCTAACTAAACCTGAGGATAGTCTCTTCCACGAATACATGAAACGGCTTCGTATGTCGTACTATACGTTGAAGGTCGCGGTATGGTCATATGAGTCACCATCCACATTGGTTTTGTTTTCTGTTCCCTAAAACCTATCTGTCGTCTTGGACTCTCTCTAGTTCAGAGGCTCCTAGATGTGTTTACATTTCACTTCAAGTCTTTAAGCTTGACCTACACGCCCACTCTTGATGTTGATGGGGCTTGAAGGAAGTGAGCTGCCTCAGTATACTTCCTGAGCGACATCTCAGAGACTCCAGACCGCACATTATATCCGTGAATTTGCTGCAAAAAGTGAGAGAACTAGAGCAACCCTCATGGACCAACTAGCCGAACATCTCGACACCCCCCATCCTCGTCTTGCGAGAGACGTTGCGCGGGAGAAAGATAATCCCCTGACGAGTCATCTTAAGCGCTATCTTCTGGACGAGAATCGTGTCGTCTACCTAACCCTAGCTTTATCACAGAATTCCTCCGCTCAACATTGGAAAGTTCTTTTGAGTCGAACAAGGTTTCTACAAGGTTTCTCGGATAAGAAGGCTTACTCGCTGTTGGTCGGAGGTTAATGAAACGAGCCCCTCGGCCTGCTGTTCCCACCCCCGTAACCCCGCAAGAAGGCAACTTTTGCTTGGTCCAACCGTGGCGATCTGGGCGCTGGCCAGGAGGCATGAGGGGCCATACCCAACCAGGTTGTTGTCGGATCCCTTATCGAGCCCCACGTTCTTTGACCCTGGCTTCAAGATGATAAGACACGAGCCCAACCCCAACACCGCTGCCGCCGAGTTATCTCAACATTCACTTCCCAATCTTCCCAATCCCTTGTGCTCACATCTCGTTCCACAATCCACAGATGGCCACTAAAGAACCCTCGACTAGTCAGGAATCTTATCCTCGCGACTTGGTACGTGCCGACGACGGGCAGACTGTTACTCTGCGACGCCTGAAGAAGCGAGAAATCGACCGACGATGTCAACGTGAGGCTCGCGAACGTAAACGTGCCCGAATTGCTGATCTCGAGAGGTTGGTGGAGGAGCTGAGGCGACAGGACGCAAACGGGCAAGTTGCCGCTTTGTTGAAGCAATTGAAAAAGGTGGAGGCCGAAAGGGATTCGGTGACCAAAACATTGAAAGATATTCAACTACTCGCGGTTCAAAAACCGCTGAAGCTGTCTGATGATGAAGCAGAAGATCATGGCAGCAGAAACGCTCAGGTGATTTCTGAAGGTGGTCATAGCAGGAGTCTCCCTCATAGGACGTCGTTGCAGGAGAACCGCCTAGTATGGACAACACCCCAACCTACTTTATTCGACATCGGAGGCAGATCAGCCAGTCCGTCTGAGCTTGCGAATACAATGCCTAATCCCAATAGCAAGATTAGCCAGCACAGCATACGGTCTAGGTCGGAACTGGTGCAGCAGTGCCGTCCGTCATCAAGTGACGGTACCATTGTAAAATCCAGCGGTGTGGGCAGACAGCAGTCGACATCAGTCGCTGGGAAGTACGGTTGGGTCAACCCCCGGAACTCCTGCTGTTGTCGTACTCATGTGGCTCGTCAGCCAGGCCAACAAGCTGTTTGGCAAGGCAATTTTTGGAAATTTGTAACCGAGGTTCTCAGTGAACGTTTGGACTGGGCAGCAGATATACAGCCTGTGAATGATGCCGAATCAGAGGACGTGCTGGTCCGCGGAGTGGTCGAAGGGTGGGATGTCATCGCCGGACGTGGTCCTCTGCATCCCTCGTTAGACATGATGCGCCGCATTGACGAAGCTCTGTTCGGACCGATACCTAAGCCCGAACGTCTAGCGATGCTGAGGGCCATGCACTTACTTATACAATTTCGCACTGAGTCTAACGCCGAGCGGTACAAGCGTCTTCCGTCGTGGTATACCTACAGGCCATCACAACATGTCGCACATAACTATGGCATCGATTATTATGCCTGGCCCCATTTCCGCCAACACGCCATCTTCGACGAGCATGCATACTGTGGCAACGATTTCTGGTACATGTACCAGTCTGAGATGCGGCTCATCTGGCCATTCGAATTTCGTGACTGCTACACCCACGATCTTGAAACTGGTCTCTACAAACCCAGTCCCTTATTTGACGAAAGAATCAACGACATCAAGAGCTGGACGATGGGGCCTGACTTTTTTCAACGATTCCCTGAACTATCCAGTGCTATCCCGTCATCAGGTCGTCAGATTCCCAAACAGATGCCGGCAATTCCTGGACAAAGGGAAGGACAATTGCTTTTGCAACCTTGCACGGGTTCAACTAAAAGAGGACCATCAACAAGCGTAGGAATGGTGTTTGAGACAGAACTACAGCAAAATGAACTAGAAGACGACGACGACTGGCCTGGAATTCATGCACAAGTTTCCAGACGCTCCTCTTCAATCCATGGCGCTCAATCGCAATCGAATCTGCCACAATCGTACAATGGGCAACTTTGCACTCTCACATCGCCCCTTGGCTGCAATGGTTTTCTCCAATCAACCTCAGACGATTGTTCCTCCTTCAATGGGTGGTCTGATGTTTGGGGCTCTGACTTTGACCCCTCCCACATAGACACCACCACCATGGACGCATCTATGTTTCAATGCGCACCGAATGACATAGTACACGGCCAGGGCACAGCACCGATAGGCCCGCCATATATTTATACTGAGTTCTAAAGTCCACGGGCTTTGCTAACATTAGCCTCAAAATCAAAACTTATCCAGACTGAAACACTGAAAATCCAAAATGTTGGTTGAAGCTATCCAGCGATAGCTATTCACACATGGGAAGCGCAAAGCGGATGACTCCCCGGCTAGTTATGTGTGTTGGCTTCGCTGCCACTTGGCTGTTGTTTCATCGACGTGCACCGCGGCTGTGTTGATACCTTCATACGCCCTTGCACCATGCTTAATTTACTATGCCGGAGGTAAGGGCCCTATATTCGTTGTATCTGGTTCCCCGATACTTAAACGCTATAGGTTTAGTGGCCTTGGACTCGGTTACTCTGCTTTGGAGGAAAAGATATGGGCGAAGAAATAAGCAGTCCTAAGTAATGCGGAGAGGCCGAAGGGCCGAGGGGTCGAGGGGCCAGTACCCAGAAGTGTCAGAGGGACGGGCCCAGACCGCCGGTCCAGGCTTTGCAAGCGGAGACCGAAATGGACGTTCTAGTATTGGGACATTTGGAAAATGCGACTCAATCGGTCTTGATAACTCTTTTTCTTACCAGGAGTCAGCACTAAGTACCTAAGTATTATACTGTAGTAGTAGGCGAATGGTACCTTGCACCTGCATACACATGGTGGCCTAAGCGAGTGAAGATTGACTAGCAACTAGGACGACTAAGTAGTTAAGCAGATGAATACGAGTCCAAGAAGGAAGCTGTGGGCGAGGTGGCTGACGGCTTTCCCTCACTTCTCTTTCGAATTCTCCCGATTTAATCGAGATAGGTGTTGTCAATAAAAGAACCTCGACGAAGTAGTTATTAGTATTCTATTTACAAAGGTACCTAGGTATAGACAGTACTGGGCAGCTAATGCACCAACTTTCCTACTTCTCTTCATCTCCCATTATTTCATGAACCTATTAAGTCCATGCGTCTATCCACACGCGTCCACGTCCCGCCAGACGCTGAATTCGAGGCTCAGCTGAACCAGTCATCTCGCCCTGTGAACCCCAAACGGGTTGTTGGTTGTCCACCGCTGTTCGACATACAAGCTAAGGACGAAAAGACTTAGTTATTACTAGGTACCTACCTACCTACTTATACCCATTACCACATTTGATTTCTCTTTCAGCTCGGGTTACAGCAGCTTCTAACCAAACCAGTGTATCCTACCTACCAGTCTAAAGTAGGAACTTTAGGACTCATTACTATTATTATCATTAGCCTACTCGTTCAAGCGTCCCGGCGCCTACAGGATCTTGCTTATCCTGACCCAGATCCAGATCCCCAACTCCACCTAACTTGAATCTTAATCACCTACCATCTCATCCACCAAACCACATTCTCTCTCTTACACTTGACCTGAACTGATCAAACATGATTTTATGACTTGATTGACAGCGCTTCGAAACTTTTGTGAAATTCGACATCGCCATCGTCATTATTATTTGCCAGCAAAGTCCAAAGTCCGCGCTTATTTCGAATCTCGCAAAACAGTCAGCCTTAAAACGCCCCTATCCCAATTCGTCTCACCTTTGAACCGATCAAACCAAGCTTTCCAGTTTTCAATCACTCTACGGAGTAGTAAACCAGTAATCAACTCGAATTCTTTTTCTCTATTCTGTGGTCTCTAACCCCATCTGTCAAAGAGAACGACATTGAACATTCGAATATTCATTTGGCTTGACCGACTGATTGACTACCTAACGGGCGGCTAGCGTTGAGTGTCGCTTGTTGAGTGAGGGTCAGTGTCAGTGTCAGTGTTGACAGTTGACGATTGTGGAGCCGATCGATTCTACGACGCTATTATCGATTGATTGATTGATTGATCATTAATTGATTACGTCGTCGAATAAGTCGACGAGACAGTCGCCGTCTTACAACAACGACAGCAACGGCGACATCATCTTGGGAGAGATTTTACTGGTTGTGCATCAAAGGCTACACTTCAACATACGCCCACTACCTTGAGACCTGGATCTGACCCAGTTGCTATCACATTTCGCGACGCGGTCGCATCCGTGTAACCAACCAACCACACCCTCACTCGAAGTATCCCTATCTTGTACGACATTATTCTGAACGGCTTTCTTACGACTTCACCACGTCTTCATAGACCTCTCCTTCTCTCTATCAAATCCCCCTCCAGCCCCATCTGACTAATCACACCGCCAAAAAAAAATAAAATGGCCTTCCTCCAAACCAGTATCCGATCCGGGTACATCACCGACCTCGTCCTCCCACCCGCACAAGAAGGACAAGATCCCGCCACCATCCTCGAACAAGGTCTCGCCGCCATCTTCGCTTCAATCCACAGTCCCACAACCATGATCAACCTCAACCCACTAGTACAAAGCGTGAACCAAATCCCCGAATCCGATCCAAAATGCGTCGATTATCGGGAAATAGCACCGACTTTCGATATCGCACTCGACGCGCCATATGTGATGCTCACACAAGACGATTTAGATCCAAAAGCCAACACGATCTCCACCAACGGATTTCGGCAGTTTGAAATTGTCGATAAGCTGAATATTGGGTTCGGCATGTCGCAGAATTTGGTCTATCATGCGGCAATTCGACAGACGAGGTTTGGAATGGAGACGTTTACCAATGCTGGTAGTGGGGTGGTTATTTTTGGGAGGTGGGAAATCAAGGTTGGTGACGGTGGGAGGGTTATTAATATCATTGAGAAGAATGTTGTCAGGTGTAATCTTCTCCTGAGTTGGTATATTCGTTCCACAATCGACAAGAGTCATGCGGAAGCTCATGCTAAGTTGAAGGAGAAGTGGATTGTTCGGATGAAGGAGGTGGGCTTCGATCCTATACCACGGAATTGAATCTGTTGGAATGAATCGAACTGAACTGGTTTGTTGGGAGTCATGGATGGATGGATGGATGGACGGTTTGCGGTCTGGGATGATGGCGACGGGCGACAGGGGAAATTGCACTTTTGTCGCTGGTTCGGTCTGCAGTGCTTTGGCTTTCGTTGATCTCCCGTCTAGGTCGGTGGGTTTTTGTGTATGGGAGATATCATGATTCGAACAATCGGCCATTCACACTCCGGAGAGTTCGATCGGGCCTAGTAGACCGAGATAGACTCTCCTGGATATAGGTCGAATGGTAGTGCCGTACCGAGATCGTCGCTGCGTCTCGTATACAATGTGCATTGAGATGACCTTTGCAAGAGAATCTGAATCAATATTTTACCAACCGTCGAAATTGCCAAACCCTCCACCGCTTGCACCTTTGTTCTTCTTCCGCACGGGCTCTTCTGGCTCGTCGATAAATTCGACGATTTCGTCCTCGTCATCCTGTGGTCGTCTCGAACCTGATGCTGTTGGGAGATTGAGATATTTACCCACTCCTCCACTGGCACCGTTAGCATCACCAACGGAGGGCCCGCCATCTCTAATTCTTTTGCCCGTCCACGTGGTCTTGTCCAACCTTCTCTGTTCTTCTTTTTCCTTTTCTCTCTGATCTTGTTGATTCTTGGACTTCCAAAACTCGTCAAATGGATCGATAAAGACTTTTGCCTGTATAATTTTAATCTCCTGCTTGGGCCGGTCGTCTTTATCTGTCTCAGTCTGCTCCAATAGCTTGAGCACCCGCACTGACTCGCTGTCATCCATATCAACCTGTCCAAACACGGTATGTTTCCGGTCCAGATGTGGCGCAGGTCGATATGTGATGAAGAATTGTGACGAGTTTGTGTTTTTACCCTTGTTGGCCATGCTTACCACTCCGCGTCGGTCGTGGATCCTCGGCCCCTCGATTTCGTCCGCGAAATTCTTTCCCCAGATGCTCGTTCCCCCTCTTCCCGTGCCTGTTGGGTCGCCGCCTTGGAGCATGAAGTTGCGGATATTGCGGTGGAAGATGATCCCATCGTAGTAGCCCTTTTGGATCAACCGCGTCATATTCCATACCGCTTTTGGCGCGTACTCCGGGTAGAGTTCGATGTTGAGAGGGCCGCAACTCGTCTCCAGTCGGATGTAGCCTTTCCCCTTGACCCTCCCTCGTCGGAGAAGATATTCTTCATCCGTCATCAATGCCAACGATCCTGAAGTGTTGGGTGTGAGTCCAGTCGAGGTGAATGAGGCCGCCGCCTGACCTGTAGTGTGTCCAGTCGCATTGTAAGGCACGGCTTTGGTGGTTCTTGTTTGGGTTGATGAAGCAGCGTTCTTGCTGACAGCTGTGGATGATTTGGAATTCGAAGATTGGCTGTTGTTGGTGTTGTTCGCTCTCTCAGCTCGGGCTTTGGCTACGGCTTCTTTGGCTTTCATAATCTTAAGATCTGCTGCGCTGCCCAGGGATGCCGTGTTGATAGTTGCTTCTTCCTTTGGTATACCAGAGTCCTCTCCATCTTTCAAATATTTAAATGAGCTTAGATTCCTCGCCTCGATGTTCTGCGGGTCTTGCAATGTGATGATATCCTTTCGAGAAAACTCGTCATCGGTTACCAGGTCCCGCCACACCTTGGGTTTGATATTCAATCTCTCGATGGTGTCGTACGCAAACACGTTGGCCGAGTCGCCATGACGGATTGCGACAATGTGGGTGTTGTCTGTAAACACCTTGTATGTGACAGGGTCGACATATTCGTCGCTGTCATTCTTCGCGAAATTCAATTTGATGAGATCAGTCTGTTTCAATGGCTTTCCGTCTGTAGGGTTTGTGTCGTGCTTCAATAGCCATCGGATGATGTTTTCATGGTCAAAGATGACTCCTGTCGCCGTACAGACTGGGGTGGTAAAGGGTTGAAGGCTCAAGGCGCAGAAATTGTAGGGCAGTCGTTTGAATGATGCGTATCGACTCTTGTCGCTATTGCGTACACCGGAACCTGCCGAGGCCGAGTAGGCATCGCTGGAGGACCACTCCGAGTGGGTAATCTGTTACGATCGCAGGTGGATGTCAGTCTTGAAAGAGTGAGGGTTTGGGTCAAGAGGGAGTAGATGTGGTGAGGGCCATACGTAGAGTTTATCCGTTCCTACAAGATGGTTAGTTAGGACTTCAAATGAACGCTGGCGATGGTTTCACCTTTTCCCATCGTATTTCAGTCCCGCAAGTATCTTTTGTTGGTCATAATGGGGCCGCAAATGTCGGGGCGTCGTGGGTATGAAGAGAATGTTGTAAACATGCCTGCGCAGAAAATGGATCGACGAAAACATGGGCTAAGATTATTTATTCGATTATGACGTTGATCCGCAGCCTTGCATGATTCCCCACCATGACTAGAGATATCAGATATCAAATCTTGCTATAAGCATTGTGTACATTTCATTATTCTATGAATCTATTCAATGGTAACATCCATGTATATATCCCCTTTCCTAGTCATCTATTGCTATGGCCACACTCTTCAAATATGCAGCGGGTCCTCCAGAAATCCAGGCCTGTCTTTCGGCCTCGCTCGTCACCACAGCACAGCCTGTAACTCCCCCAGAATTGACCCCAGACCCAGTTTCGAATCCAGATCGACGTCGTGGAATCAGACATATCCATTCTTTTGAGATGATGACATTGTGTGCAGATCCTGATCCTGCTTGCTGTTGAGCATGTCTGGTTGCTTCGAGTAATCTATCATGATTTTGTATCAAAGTGTCGGCTGTAGCATTTGCTGGCAGTCGAAGCACAAAGTGCTTATAAGGGATTTTTGGGATGCTATCAGCGATGAGGCTCTCTGATGTGGCATAACTGGGAAATATCCTGAATCCCAGCTTTTCCTCATCTGGATATGGCCAGATCTGCATGTGTTTGTGCCCCTGACTCGATCCACTGTGGTAGCCGCAGTTGTAGATTCCTAGGTAGCGACCTGAGAAAGTCTGCATGACAGCCCAGAGTGCAGTGAGATCACCAGCTGTCAAAGCCTCTTCTTGTGAAATATACTGTTTGGTCGTGATCAATAGACTTGGCCGGTAGAAGGAGAACTTGTTGAGTAATAAGTAGTGATGATCGCCCACGGTCGACACAATTTCTTCAGGATTCGGTGGCAAGAATGGGTTGCCTTTCTTCCCGTCCTTCCTTTCTGGGGCATCATGTGAGATGATGGGTTTCTTTTGAGCAGCTGGAGCCATACGGAGCTCAAACTGTGAATCAATTAGTTAGAGGACAGCTGGCTGATCATTGCCTTGCCTCCACTTCGTACCTTGAATCCATTGTCATCTATAATCTCAGCCGTCGAGGGTCCATAGATGAGCTTCCCAGCAGCAACTGCTTCATCAAACCTTGAGAGGGCGTATGCTTCGAGGTCTGGTTGACGGACAATGGGTGAAGAGGGCTTGGTCGATCCCTCCGTGTCTGAGGACTTGGAAAGTTCATCGAGAGTCATGTTGGGTGGATGTCCCCTAGATCTCCTTAGATCCAAGTGTCTCGAGCGGTTCGCAGAAGGCAGTTCTTCTCATGGGACTGTCAAGTGCATTTGGAAAGAAGACGTGGCCTTGTTTGATGACACTTCAGATGGAAGGTGCGAGATGCACCTGCTCAGCCCACTTTCGACCCAGCCATGTCAACAACTCAAGACTACAGATAGCAACAGAAACATTCATTAGCCGGTCCTTGATCTGCAAAACGCCTTTTCAAGTTCCATTGTCATTAATTCTGGTCGTTCATTGGCATCATCCAAAAAGATATCGATGATGATCACGTGAGCATTCCCATAGGACTAACCCGATATGGACATCCCATCTACGGTGGACCATTAAACTCCCAAAATGCTCGTATGACCTCTGTTGCTGCTTCTGCGGTTGCTGCCGCAGTTGAATATATTTTTTGAGTTCCACTGCCATCGCCCTGAACTGTCGACTTGACAACTGCTGGATTCAGCTTTCGGGTCTTCCTTCTTTTGTCCATCATTGTTCTTCCTCAGGCGTCGCAATGGCTTTCTCTCGCTCTCTCACAACCCTCTTGCGCACTTCTCGGCATGTTGTCGGACCCGCTCGTGTGAACCCCGTCAACAGAGTCTTTGGCCATGAGAGATTTGGTGCTAGAACATATGCTGCAGCTTTCACCAGAGACAAGCCACATGTCAACATTGGTAAGAGAATATTGTCTTGTTCGCTCTGTTATGACGCTGACGACAACAGGTACAATTGGCCACGTCGATCACGGCAAAGTACGTATCTACCTCGCCGCACTCAGTGCTCCCAGCATATTTATTGACCTCCCGCCAGACAACTTTGACTGCCGCCATCACCAAAAGACAAGCAGAGCAAGGCTTTGCCCAATTCTTGGACTATGGCTCCATCGATAAAGCCCCCGAAGAGCGCAAGCGTGGTATCACCATCTCTTCTGCCCACGTCGAATACCAAACCCCGAGCCGTCACTACTCCCACGTTGACTGTCCCGGTCACGCCGATTACATCAAAAACATGATCACTGGTGCCGCACTTATGGATGGAGCTATTGTTGTGGTGGCTGCTGGTGACGGACAAATGTAAGAACGCCCACGACGTCTGGTGGCAATCAGAAGACATTAACACATCCAGGCCTCAAACCCGAGAACATCTCCTGCTCGCTCGACAGGTCGGTGTGCAAAAGGTCATTGTCTTTGTCAACAAAGTCGATACCGTCGAAGACCCCGAAATGTTGGAACTTGTGGAGATGGAAATGCGTGAACTTCTCAGCACCTATGGCTTCGAAGGCGACGACACCCCTATCATCTTTGGTTCAGCCCTCTGCGCCCTTGAAGGCAAGAAGCCCGACATTGGTGTAGAAAGGATTGATGCGTTGCTCGCAGCCGTCGATACTTGGATTCCCGATCCCATTCGAGACACCGACAAGCCATTCATGATGCCCATTGAAGAAGTCTTCGGTATCCCCGGACGTGGTACGGTCGCTTCTGGACGTGTGTTGCGTGGTGTCCTCAAGAAGGATTCCGAGGTCGAGATCATTGGACACGGAAAAACCCCAATCAAGAGCAAGGTCACCGACATCGAAACCTTCCACAAGCACTGCGACGAATCACAAGCTGGTGACAACTCTGGATTGTTGCTCCGTGGTGTTCGACGTGAGGACTTGACCCGTGGACAGTGTATCGTCGTGCCAGGATCTGCCAAAGCACACAAGAAGGCTCTCGTGTCGATGTACTGCTTGACTGCCGATGAAGGTGGACGTAAATCTGGATTCGGAACCAGCTACAGGCCTATGGGTTTCATCAAGACAGCCACCGAAGCCGTCACTTTGGAGTGGCCTCCGGAGAACGATGACCCCAACAAGATGGTCATGCCCGGTGACAACGTTGAGATGATCATGGAGGTTCACCACGAAACCGTCATGGAGCCTGGTGAGCGATTCAACCTCCGAGAAGGTGGTCGAACAGTTGCCACTGGTATCATCACGAGAGTTGTCGCATAAGGTCGATATGGTCCGAGCTGCAGCCTTCCAAGACATGATCGAATGTATGAAGTGGCGCCAGAATTGAGAAAAAGTGACTGACTGTATCACCATGTGTGGGTAAGCTTTGGATTTGTACATTTTTCAGACAATACGCTGCGGAGTTTTGCTTGTCAAAAGTCGCACATGGAAATGCGATATATGTTATGTGTTGGTGGGAACAACAGGTCGAGTTGATTTGATGTTCCACGCATAGATAAAACCTCTCCACTTCAATTCGAACATGTCTTAAGATGTTTAGAATGCTTCAGTTTCTGATGAGATTGGGATCGAATGAACTGAACTACGCCTTTGCCTTTACCAACGTTACGAGTTCAGAAGATTAAAATTTCTTTCTTTTTGAGAGCATCATGACAAGACACTCTAATCGTACAATCGTGCTCGAGCTTTGTACACGAGAGAGAAAGAGCAAGAGAACCACGGAGTTGGTTCCAGTTCTCCGCTTCGAGTCCTGATCGTGACAAAGTAACTTGACACATACAACCAGGACTCCCATCATAGACCTTCCAACCAGCTGCCTGGCTGCCTGCAGCTTCTGCATCGAACCCCTCCTCAACCCATCCACCTGCTCAGCTCAATGTCTTCGGTAATATACGACAATCAGCCTCGACAGAACCCTTTCTCTCATCTCACCCCATCTCCAAATCACATGTATGTATCTTCCATTCCATTCTTCTTGTTCTTTTAACTCGTACTAGCCAAAATCCCCGCCGTCTCGACCTGAGATTCACCTGCCTCTCGCTCGGCCCGTCGTTTCCGCTTCTCAGTCAAAATGTCTTTTCTTTGCTGCAAGAGCTTGATTTGTCGATCCTCGACACCTTTTAACCAGTATCCGAATGATCCTCCAATCCCGGCGAATAATGGGTATACCCACATGGCACCTCGTTGGAACAGTGGTCGCATTTCAATGCCGAGTTGAACGAATCGCGTTGCGATGCCTAGTATGGGGGATAATTTGTTAGTGGGCATGATACAAATATATCATCTGGAGATGAGTGGTCGGGGAGCCAACTGAATGTCAGGGGAAATATATGGGAAAGGACTCTCGAGAAGGGTTCGAACTGAACATACCGAATCCGGCCCAGAAGAGGATCTTGTGAACCATTGTGTGTGAAGTTATGTAGAAGGATGATTTATGTTTCTGCTCTCTTTCCCTTTCCTTTCTTCTCTTCCTTTATCCCTACGTCACAGACGTCTTGACAGCGTTGACTTCGAGGCGGGCAAAAGGAGATAAAATCGGCAAAAGGTCGATAGTGAGGTAGAATTCTCACGTGTTTGATCCGACGGGTTTATTCGGCGCGGTGGTAGGAAGATTTCTAGCGCAGGATCGATTGGTAGTACAGACGAAAAACAGGTCGAGAGAGAGAGCCGTGGGAGAAGGAGTTGGAGTTGGCTCCCCGTTGTTATGGTGTGTAGGTATGTTAGGTACCTAAGGTAGTAAGGTAGTCTTGAAGGTCGGAAATTGAGATACTGGGATCCAATAATGGTGGACGTTGGAAGCTGGGTCAGAACATGGATCAGTCCCTGTTCGCATGCAGCGGAGTTTAGGGGGGTTTGGTGCAGTTTTCAACAGTAGTGACGGCGAAAAAAGGTGCCAAGATAGTCAAGTTGGAGCGAATCAGGGAGTGTGGATTGTCATTTTTGGTGTGGAGCAGTAAGAGTGAAGATGTCGGCCTCTTGTGGGTAGAGTGCTTCGCTGTAATTTGTCTTTATTGCCAGGGGATGCTTGCTTTTCATTCGAACCAGGTTTGAAATCCTACTTTCTTGGAAACACGCTTGTCTACATAGTCAACATGGTGAGCCCGGATTGACATGGTCAGAAAATGAATCGTGTGCAACTTGTCTACTCAGGACGGCCGCTATAGACGCATGGTCGCGCTTGTAGAGTCGGGTACAATGAAGGCATCTCAGTGAACTACTTCTTGCTACTGTATCGACACAGCCATGAACAAGACCTGTCCATTCTCTTAGATATATATAAATCCTCAAGAACACAACCATCAACAATACACAACGTTGAATGTTATGTTCTGTTGGTCGAATGTAGACTAGGTCTCGAAAACCGATTTTGACACGTGATATATACACTAACCACAATCAGCCAAGTCAAGCTTCTCCAGCAGCTCCAACGACGAATTCGTTCATTCACGACTGCATCGAACTTTTTGTTAGCCATCGACACGGCCGACACAACGGGGCAAGACCATCACCATGGCACCCTCACGAGCCCCAAGTGCTCAATTATTACACTCATTGAGATCCCTCACCATCGAAAAACCCCATTCAGGGATCCAATTCCGCCGACTGACCACATCGAGTGCGAAGCATCAAGATGCCGCCCAAGTCGAAAAGTCATCCACCTCCTACTACCGCAACCCACAACCCGAAACGGTGTACGCACCCCGATTGGAAAGGAAGCTTCTAAGAGCTGGCATCCGACCGATCGGATCTCGAAGACGTCGTGCAGCAATTGCCAACTCTCCAGGGGTTCCGTTTGATCAACTGCCATTCCAGTGTTTTCAGGAGGCTCGCAAGATCTTGATTGCCGATCGAGAGGAAAAGTTGCAGCAGATTGAGACTGAAAAGGCTAGGATTGCTAGATTGAGTGAAGTCGATCCAAATACTTTTCCTGGTGGTGATGCGTACAAGCAGAGGAGGTTGAGGAGCATGCATACTCAACTGGAAAAATTGAAGATTTTGGCAGATATCAACGATCCGAATGTCAAGAAGAGATTTGAAGATGGAAAAGGTTCGTGTTATCTCTTTCGGGAGATGGAAAGTGGGATCTATCGCTAACAGACATGCTCATCTAGGCGACATGAATAAACCCATCTACAGACATCTCGCCCGCAAAAAATGGGAGGCATACCCACGAAAGGTCCTGGTGCAGAGAATCACACAACTCAAGGTTGTGCCGGACGTCGTCCCATCTCTCGACCCCGATGTTGATGTCAAAATCTCATTTGGCAAGCGTTCAGTACCTCCTGGAGAATTTGTCGATGCCGCCATCAGCGAACGTGCACCTCAATTGAATCTGCAGATGTTTGAAAAGGGAGAGAAACTCGTCACCATCGCGGTCGTCGACCCTGACATTCCCAACCTGGAGACCAACGCCTTTGATTCTCGATGTTACTACCTGGCATTCAACATTCCCCTCTCAGCAAGCCAACCTTTCGTGGACCTGGGCAAGCTTTCGCCAGATTCCCAAGTTCTTCTCCCCTGGATACCACCATATGCCCAGAAGGGCAGTCCATACCACCGATTGTCGATCGTCGTGCTGCAACAAAAGGACAACATCCCAGTGGATCTTGAGGTGGCTGCCAAAAAGGCTGAACGAGACGGGTTCAGCGTTCGTAATCTCATGAGTCGACATTTGTTGACTCCCATCACTGCCTCGCTGTTCCGCGCCATTTGGGACGATACCACAGCTGGCGTGATGCAGAGAGCTGGAATCGAGGGAAGTGATGTTGAGTTGAAGAGGAAGAAGGTGGAGCCCCTGCCTTATAAGAGACGAAACCCGTCGACCTTTAGATAGACGACTGAGGAGGAGGGTGTTGTCCATCGTGTACAAAATAACAGACCACTGTAATTCCTTTCCAGTGTTGTGTACTTCATACCATCGTAGATCAGCCTGTGTCGAATGTGATACCTCTCCAGAATTGGGCCAGACCCCTCATTGAAGCCGTCAGATTCTGGAGTGACGTGAATGAATATGGATGGACCACTCGATTCTTGGAACCAAATCCAATCCGCGAATCTGTCCCCGTCGACAGAGTAAACACGCTCAAGCGTATGAGCACGGAAGGTATTTTCTCAACCCAACTCTTCCAACTCATCCACCCTCACCAGCTGCTCCTTTCTAAACGATCTCCAATTAAACCACCCATCTCCATTATACAACAACTTGCCCGTAATCAACGCCATTGGCACAGGACCATAAAACCTTGAATCTCGACTATAAGGCAAATTATCACCCGCCACCCAAACATGCCCCTCTGGAACCTGCACCATTAACGGCTCAGCTCTATTATCTTTTTTATCGTTCTGGCCACTTCCTCCACCATAAACAACCGCGCCCGCCACATTCGGACTCTGTGCTTCGTCGCGCAAGATGTAATCCCCGGGCATACCGACGACACGTTTACATGCGCTGCCGCGAGGGAAGATAGGACTGTCGAAAATAATCACGTCGCCGAGTCGGATGTTTTTGCCTTTTTGATGCCGTCGGGATATTATGTTCACGGAGAGGGTTTCGGGCATGCTTGGGTACATGGATGGGCCGATGGAATTCTAGTAGGAGGAAAGGGGGGGGGGATGTTAGTTGGTGGTTGTGAAGGGGAGAGACCAGAGGTCCGAGGGGGAAAACATACAGATGTGGTAATTACATGGTGACTGATCAATGCGGTCGAGGCCCAGATCGCAACACCTGCTGTCACCATTTGTATAACATAGCTAACTGGTGTGCGATGTGTACTGGTTTGAATTTGGGGTGTTTTCGTTCTTGAAGACAAGATTCGTCGGAGGATGGTTGGCATTTTGGGACTGGGACCTGGCCCTGGCCAGTGTTGGTGTGAGTGTGAATGTAAATGAGAGGGATGCTGTTGAATGGATGGTAGGTAGATGGACGGGTAGGAAGGTAGGCTGGGTCGGTGAGGCGCTTAAGGTCCTTGCATGGCGGCAGAGTGTAGACTCTGGAAAGGAGAGGGAAGAGAAGGTAGTTAGATATAAGAGGAGTGCAGGATACGGACGTAGGTAGTACGTGCAAGGTGGAATAGTATTCGTGGATTTGGATATCGAGACTCTCATCTCGAATCTCTCATCTCAGCCTTGTGAGGAGTGACTTTCTGAGATGATGTTTCATGTGGCAAGTTTGCCGACTTCCCCTCCCCCAGGCTACCTCTCCATTTCTCTGCTTACTGGTTAACTAACAAATGATACAACCGCAATCAAATGCACCATAAGGAGGAGGGATGTTTGAATGTCACATGTCTTTTGCTGGTAGATTACTGTACAGCACATGCCGTTTCATTGGATTTAGTTGGTAATAAAACCAAGTCCAGCATCATCTTGACATGTGACCTAATATCATTCCACAGGAACCCTGCCTACACATATAAAGAATATCCATGTGACTTGTTCACCAGCTAGGTACCTACATATGTATGTGCTGAGTCGAATCATTCGACCTTCAAATAACATCTCCATGTCCATCTCCACCAATGAACATGAACTGGATGTGACATCCAGACATCCAGTGAGCGACAACCATGCTAGAAGGAAATATGGAGATGACTTGACTTGGCTTCTTGGTTATCTCAGCCACCAACTAGAATTATTATTAGCATTATGTATGATCTAATCATCTGAACGTTATCGCCCTAGGCCTAGGAACGATCCGCGGTGGACCAGAATACGTATGTACTTAACAGGACGAGGTTGTAATTATGAGAATGTATGTATTTCGGATGTTAGAAGAGTTGGAAATATGATTGGCATGTATTCAAACACGCAAGCATGCAAGCATGGAAGCTCGCATTCCAGCTGAATAGATATGCATCCAGCAATCGACTATCGATCGCAAGTCAAGTCTATTTTGGCAATGTACGTACATCCATAGAGCTTATCGACATGTCCGTATGATAAATACCAACCTAGTGGACGCCACGATGTCAACGATGCCACGATCTCTACTTGAGTCCGTCCGCACAATGACACTGGCACTGACAGTCAAGTACACGTAGACATCGGATGCTTGATGTTTCTACGGAGTACTCCCCTCTGTTGATCATTACCCCGTATCTGATTCATGTAACATTGCGTGCCTTAGTCTTGCTCGTGCAGCCACACAGCCTTCCAAGCTTGGCAATGATGTTATCTCCAAGACGTCCAAGACTCCAAGACTTTTTTCATTATGGCTGTATGTGTGGTAGTAGTTGCAGTAGTGCATGGGGAACAGGCATCAGGATTAGATGATTCGCAATTTGGAATGTTGAGGAATGGAATGCATAGGTAGTCGGAATGGGGTGATCACGATTTGGAATGGAATGGGTGGCCGAGGGGGCTTAGCAGCGGGGTATGGGTATGGGTATGGGTATGGGTATGGAGATGCTGGAGGCGGGGAGACTTGTTTACTATGGCGACAATAATAATGAACTGGACAAGAATTTCGTGATAATAAAGAACTGTATGCTTATAGCTTCGTAGACATTCATTCATGCATTCATGCAAGTATAGTAATACACTATGTCGTAGTAATGTTGTACAATAAGTCCCTAGGTACCTAGGTGATGGCTTTTCAATCGTCGAGTTCCATCCCGGTTGGTTAGCATTCTCTGTCCGCCAGTGAACAATCCTCCTCACCGTCCTTCTTCTCTCCTCGTCCCCTCCTCGCTCCAGATCGAGTCTTCATAATTTGTAGGCATGCGGGAGGTAGGGTAAGGTTTGTGGTGATCTTTCAGCACTTGAGTAGATCAAAACGTAGAATGTCGAGGTAGTTGGGTTTTGGTTTTGGTTGTGGTTTCTTCGGGTCGTCGCCAGGGAATGGATGGATATAAAAACGTGCGTGCTGTAATGGTTTGATGCCGCTGAATCGCTTGACCAAAAGGTAGAAAAAAACTTCATCATGAAAACCCCATGCCGACCAATCAATTAATCAATCATCCTCATCAACTTCAATCGCCGTTTCTCGAATCATGACCGGCCTCGCTTGTCTCCACGAATGATCTTTGATATCATAGGTCGAAGTCGTCGGTGGAGGAGGAGGAGGTCTTCGTCTCGGTGCCGTACTCGCCACTACTTGATTCGGTTTCGGTTCTTCCAAAACGATATTCTCGACGAATTCCTTCGTGGTGACGTCGTCTTCGTCCTCGTCCGGGCTGAAATCAAACACTGCCACTGTTCCAACCTCGGCATCATCCTCGAGGTCTTCATCTGATGAATTAGAGTCGTCGAAAGGATCGACTTCGACAACGACGTTTTCAGTAGGAATGGCGACGGTGCGACTCCAGCGTCGGACATTGTCGATGATGTTGGCGTGGGCGACTAAACGACCAAGATCGGGGGTTTGACGTCGGGCTTCGCGGTCGAGTTTGGCGGAGCCGAGGCTGTAGACTTTGTAGGCGGTGATGGCGGGACTAGGGTTGAGAGGGGGAGAGGGGATGGGACTTGATCTTGGTGACATGGTTTTAGTGGTGGTGTTGGTATTGTTTGTATGGGTTGTAGTAGTGGTGGAAGTAACAGTAACAACAGCAGCCATGATACGATGGGCACGCTGCTGTTAAAGTATTTGTTTCAATGTCAACTAGTAGTAGTACTAATAGTACTCTACTATTAATATTTCAAATATCCAGTATGTAGTGGGGAGGAAACTCTTGGTGGTGGCTATGTAAGATGGGGGAAGGGAAAGTTGATATACAAGACTCAAATCAAAAGATGACCCGAGGAAGCCTTATGAGGCATATGAGGCATCAACATCATCATCAGGCCCCATCGGCCAACAACACAAGACATGTGGGACTGATTGTGACCTACTGACCGACCGTTGGCGGGAAAACATTAACGAGGTCAACACATCAGGGCACAGACAATACAGGACAGGCCCACGGATGTCACGGCTTGCATGGCCTGCATGGCATACGCATTCGGAAATTCCAAACCGACCGGGGGAAGATCCAATGTAAGCAAAAGTAAAACCAGGATCCAAGAAAAAGTCAAAGGGCTGATGGAGGAGGGAACAGGGGTTGGCATTGTGACGTCGTATGTAATCGTGGAGCTGGAAGAGGCCGAAGGGAAACTAAAGTGGATCATGTGCCTTGCGTTGACATCCATGTCTTTGTTGCTGTGCATTTGGGCTGAATGATGACCCTACAGGATGACTTATTAGCTTACGGAGTAGCTTGTGGGATGCGTCACGTAGCGAGTGCGAGTGCGAGTGCGTATGCATAGTGGCAGTGTGTAGCTCTCATCCTCACTTCCACCCTCTCGTCCCTGTTCCTGTTATTTCAGCCGTGGTGCCATGGCACCATGGCTAATGAATTTCCTTGAGCTTGTGATTTCCGGATCGGCGTTCGATGATTTCATTTTCATAACCGGATTAGGTTTGTGCTTGCGATGGAAATCCACATCCACAACCACATCCACACAAACTGACACTCAGCAACCCCGGCTTCTTGGGGCCGAGAAACCTCCCAAGGGTCCGTTCCCTTGGCCGCTCGGCCTCTCGGCCTTTGGACTTGGTCACAGCACCCCAAGATCTTGGTTTTTCCAATCATTGTGAATTCGTTTCGGGGTACATCAAACCAAACTTACCTACCTAACGTTAAGCTAAGCGACTGGCGAGGCCACGCATACCTACCAAGAAACTTGGTTTGGCATTGATCCAAGACCATTTGTTCATCTGTTCATCATACGGTCATTCGATTTCTTGCATCAACCACTATATTTTCGATCTCAGTGTGCGATCGCAAACCTTGGCTATTCTGGGGTGTTTGTGGTCCCAGTGACTCACTGAGTAGGTATGTAAACAAAATCTTGGTATTGTGATGATTTGTTGCATGCCCTAGTTTTGACTAGGTATCTAAGGTATGGTTGTCACTGCTGTTCGTGGGATGTGCCATGCTGGCCATGCTACTACTACTGCTACTACTATTGTGATTTTTTGTCTCCATCTACCCTACCTCCTCCTGCCCCTCCTAAACCTCGAACCTGAACCAACAGCCCAGGCCATACCTTCCACAAGACATACAAAAATCCCAACAAGATGGTTGCCACGGTGAGATTTTCAATTGTCGATTGTGACATCGCTTGAGTGTTCAAGACGGGCAATGAGATCGTTTCAACCAGTCTCCCTGCTTGATTATCCTGTGGCGACGGCTGCACGTGGTAGAACATGGTTCTAGGACCGAAAAGTCCCTCGAAGCCCAGCTGTGTTCGGTCGAATGGATTGACCGGGAACTTGGTGCCGTCATCAGCGGTGCACGCCCAGAAGACTACTGGCCAAGGGATGTCAACGTCGCTGAACCCTCCTGCTTGCGGTGTCAGATATCGTAGGTGCATAGGGATTGTGACGTCCCAGGAATGATTATCAGATGATGACGAGGAGGTTTGATTATATTCAGGTGTGAGAATCGAGAACAGCGCTGTTGATCCCCATTGCTTGACCACATAGTCTGGAGCTTCGAGGTCTGTGTCGCCAGCGACGGTGTGGAGTTGGCCGAGGTTGTGAGATTTCTGGAACAAGGGGTCATTACTAAGGAATGCCCACTTGTCAATGAATATGTGTGAGGGTAGGGTGAGGTATGTTTGCAGCGCGCATACACTTCCTTCTGGCTTTTTGGTTGGTTCGACTAGGTTTGAAGCTGAAGGGAACGATATCCGTAGGATTGGATGTAGACCGATTGGTCGATCAAAAGAAACAGTATATTTCTGGTCGAGGAGTCGATGGTGACGAGATGGAAAGCTGAAGAGAGTGGCTTTAGGGTGGTCGTCCTGGCCGAGGACAGTTAGGAAGCCAGATAGTGATAGCTCCGATGGATCTTGTGCTGCTTCACTACCCAAAACACCAAGCTCCACACGTTCAGTACCTCTAGAGCGGATGTCAATCATCCAACGATCGACGGCGGTGGAGTCTGATATAGGATCATAAGTGATGTCGGGTTGTTTGGACCAGAAGGCAGTGAAGGTGAGTGCGTGGGAGATGCTATCATAGTCTATGTCGATTGAATCGGCAAGATTCAGCAGTGACGCCGAGTGGAGGCAGCTGAGATCGGAGTAATTGCATAGCCGCCGTTGGAGGTATAAGACAAGGCTTTTGACATTAGGAAGCTCTGAGTAATATTGGGAATTGGCGGTACGGGCGAAGCGGGCTGACAGTACGGGAGGAGTGATGAAGGTGGTTTTGGGTGAGACACATTTGAGGTCTTTGCCAAAGACAGTATGAATCACATCACACAGATTGTCTGGTTGATCGTCTTTAAGAGGAGTATAGTGTATATGTAGTCCAGGGGAGATTCGAGAGACCAGGGGTTCTGTGACATTGTAGAATTTGTCGGAAGCCCAGCGGATGTGTAGATCGTGAGACTGTTCTAATACATCGACTATTTCTTTGGGAAGTTCTTTTAGTCCGATAGTCAAGCGCTCTTCTCGGGCAGCCTTGACTCCTGCCAACTGTACCCGATCTGAGGAAACTTTGATATCTTTCGGATCAACTGCATGGCTGGGATGTGTGATGTATGTTGAACGTCTTTTCATGATAGAGCGGAGTCGGAAGGTGACGAATTTAAGATATTGTCGGGTTCTAGAGATGTCCTCGCCAATGGCTAAGTCGAATCCAGATTTTGCGTTGACGGGACTTTTTGATAGCACAGTTGATGGCTAGCTTGTGCTTGTTCTTGTTGATGTTGATGTTGTGGTGAGGTGGACTAATTTGATAATCACGTGATATTTACAGCATTGACATGGTCACGTGGCTGATTGCCTTGAGCATTCAAGGTGCCTAAAGGATAACCTCATGGGCATAGACCCAGGCGATTTGGGCCTGAAACCTGCCTGGGCTTGCCCGACCGAGGGGCCGAGGGGCCCTAACGTCTCACTCACTGTGGAGAGATGATGACGTCCTCTGAGACATTCATTTTTTGCTTTACGGAATACATTGTCGACAAGGAGATGGCGACGACGAACGCATACTATCCAGTGCCTCTACAACCACTTTCCTACCGGTCTCTCTTTCCAAGTCTCAGATCTCAAATCTCCTTCTGAATCTCCTTCCAGATTACAATATCATAGATTAGTATAGCAGGCACGGCAAGAACAATGCCAAAGGTCACGACTCACTCCAAACTCCACTCGATTGAGGGAATAATATTATAATCGTTTGCCACCACATTCCACACTCACACTTGCAATTATGGTAGTACCATGAGGATGTATACTGTAGCAAACCACGTATCCCAATCCAAACCCCTCTCTTCTAGTCCTTACTGAGTACCTATCCCTACCCTTGTCCATCTTGGATAAATTTAGCTTAAACCTTTCCCACTTTCCCACTTTCCCACTTTCCCAAGCTGCCCGAATTCCCGGCTGATCGTTTTAAGACACATTACATAAGAAACAGAGTCCAAGATCCCTGCGAATTGATCTCGATTCTGGTTTTAAAAGTTTCCGACGGAGGATGACATACAACTACGCTTATCGGGGATTATGCCTTGAAGCTTATCGTGAGTGTTTCGTTCTACTTGCTCAAACGTCTGACTAAGGTACGTCCTATGAAAGATAACCATACATACGAAACTTTGAAGACCTGGAGGGGACAGCAAGGGAAGGGGAAGGAGGGGAAGGGATAGGATGTACCTGAGGTACCTTACCTAAGGTAGGCAGGTAACGTAGACATCAGGGTACTAAAGTAAAGGCTTATGTACATACATGCATACCTTATCCACAATGAACCCTCGTGTGTCATCACCGTCAAGACGAGGAGACCCTGAAGCTACTGTAAGTAGGGGGCCTTGACTTATAACTTGCAAAACCCAGATTCGGATGCTTAGGCTATCACAGACGACATGATTAATGGCATAGATACCTACATACATCAAGTGTGTATACCTCAAGGCTCATCCTATCACATCCATCCATCTCCACCGGAGATGAGTCGGTGAACCCGTGCCATAACAAATCATCTACATCAGTAATACAGACTGTAGATCACGTTTCTGTCGCGAAATGACTACTCTTCTGGGCTGGGCCCCTCAGCCGTTGTCAGCCTTAGATATTTCGCTAATCAGCTCGACTGAGAATTCTGACTACTGCCAAACTTACTGTACTGTACATGTATCACTTATTCAGGGATCAACATGTGACAAGGCCATCCGATAATTTCCACACAAGCTGAGTGAGCAAGTGGTGTTTACGACCCCTTCCATATGTGTGGTTGGTGGATGCCATGGGACAGAAGATCCACTCCATTTGCCCTAGTGGCATTGGATTATCAGCATGAGAAGAGCAAAAGTCAAGCCATGTGGTTTTATTATTTGATGAGGGAGCTGGATACTCGTGACATATCACGTTGAAAATACTTTCTGTAGTTGGGAAGAATCGACTACAAGGACAATCCTTGGTCGAGATGTGTTCCTGGTATTTGTGGCGCTGGCTGGGCTGAATATCAATACCTCATTTTATATTGCTTATTAAAACTGAGACAGATGCATCACATTGAAAACGCCATGTATCATGCCATGTCTGCTCATTTCTCGAGCTCCACATCATCATCATCATCATCGTCGTCGTCATTAAATCGTCCTCGATCCTATCGACAGTAGCCTGGCCAACCAGTTATCCAACGACGTCTACCCATCTAGTCTCACTGTATATGGTATATCCAAACCATCTATCCACTCATTCACTCATCTGACAAAAGGCAAACATGCCCACCGTCGGCTTCAGATGACCTTAGAACCATAACTCCAAGTCAACCTCAATAATACATATCATCCTCAAATGCTCGGTCTTCCAACGGATGTTGTCGTTTATATCCATATTCTGGTTTCACAGAACTTGATCCTCCGTAACCACCACCAGGATTCTTGTTCCCACCACCGTTGGCGCCAGCTTTCAAGTACCCCGGATACTGTTGTGTATATCCATTGCCCATCGAGTTTCCGCTGGCGTCCAACCCAGCAGCGCCAGTATTGTTCATTGTATATCCGTTATACCCGTACACCATATCGCCGTTGATATACGCCGGAGAGTTTTCGTTTGTCGCCATATTGCTGGTTTCATGCGACCCGTTGCCATTTCCTTGTTGATTCACGCCATTAGGACCATCAGTTTCGAAAAAGTCGAGGTCGAGGGTACCCCAGCCTCGATTATCTCCACCCATGTCCCCCGAATCCCCCTCTCCCCAGTTCTCAAATCCTGTTGCAAGTTGATTCTGATCATTAAAGAACCAATCCTGCGTCTCTTCCATTAGACTGTCAATGCCACCAAACAACTTGGCTGCTTCGCCGCCCCGTGCGGGAGCTGCTCCACTTCCACTGGCAGATGCCGTCGCAGACTTCATCCGTGCCGTGTGAGTATTCCAAGCATCTTGTTGGGCTTGGGTTAGATAGGTTGAGGCTCGAACCTTGCTCAAATTTCGCGAGAGATCTGCCGCAGTTGTAGGTGGCAAGGATAACCCATCAGATGAACGACGCCTATCGACCGTGCCACTGGGACTGGGTGCGAGGGCAGATGAGATTCCAGCAAATTGCTGCGGAATGGCCGATTTCCCGGGAACGTTCGACCAGTCCTGTTCTTGCTGCTGTCGTTGCTGTTGTTGCTGTTGCTGCTGCTGCTGTAACATGATATTGCGAGCCATTAGATCGGTCAGCTGCGTTGGTTGAGAACTGATTACTCGCATAATTTGAGCAATATTCTGACTTTGAGGTGATGGGACATTGGCGTTGACCGCAAGACTGTCACCCCATTTCATGCGTGCCCGAGTATAGATCATTGCTGCTTCATCAGGTAGTTCGATCTTCCACCTCTCAGCGCATACCTGCAACACAGCCAATGTTCTTCTCGCTGCCGTCCAGCACTCACCCATCTCCTCAAGATGCTTGATGCCATGAATGATGTCTCTTCGTGCGTTTTTCTCCGGCAGGTTGAGTAGATGGATCGTACATGCCGAATGGACAATGTAGATGGCAATATTGCAGATCTGACGGAGCCCATATGTACGTTTATAAACGCGGAAGAGTTTTGAAATGGATGCGGCTCCTTGGGTACAGAATTTGCGTGGTGAGATATGGGAGGGGAGAGGGGACGTGGTCCGGGTATACTTGAGAAAGGGACGATAAAGGTGAATGTAAAGAAGTTGGAAAAACATGCTTGACAGCAGTCAGTATGAGACGCACGCCCGTGGCCAATAAATCAAGCTTGACTTACTGCATCAACAATGCCTGTGGGAGCTGACCATCTCGGGGCTCCAACTCGGCGGGAAGTGCCTGTTTCCATGCTTCCAACCGGGTATGCAAGTCACTCAGCCTCTTCAACTCCGTTTGCTTAGGGAGAGGTTTGTCGAGTTGAGCAGGGTTGTAGAATGATGTCAGGAGATCGCTGGAGATTTCTGCCAGCTTGGAAAGCTGTAGCGCAACAGCTCGTGTCCGTGCGGGTTGGGCATGTGCTTGAACGATACCGCTGTCTGTATATGGCGACCACATTTCACTGTCTTCCGTGGGAAATACATCTGGCTTTTTGACGGTGATGTTTGACGGTAACAACTGCGGTTGACGGCCGAGATAGTTTGACCAACACCTAGAGAGAACGTGTTAGTAGGAGAGGAGGAGAAGCAGAAGGAAAACATACTTGTCGAATAAAAAGCACCCCCAGAATGTGATCCTTCTGGCATCGATGTCTTCCTCCGGGAGCCGCGAAGATTCATTCATGGGGGAGACATCGACATTGAGTCCCAAGTCGCCCGCCATTCTGAAGCTCATACCACTATAAACCCACCCTTTACTTTCTCGTCCACATCCGGCTTCTCGAACCGACATCAACGCCAGAGCTTGAACAGTGCATAGCTTAGCGTTGGCAAACTCATCATTTTCGTACAGCAGTCGTTTGGCTTCTGCGAAAAAGTGGTCGCCCGTAGTGCTGGAGTCGTCAGGGTTTGCCCTTGCAGCAGGTCGAGTAGAGAAATGGCAACCAAGGGCAAGCATAACATTTACCAGAAGCGGTGAACAGTACTGCGAAGTGGTGCCCGTCAGAAAGTCGCGATAGAAGAGCTGCTTTGCCAGAGTGGTGAAGAAGGCATAGTGCCAGCAAAAATACATGTTGATTAAATGGAGAATTAGCTCCTTGTCTTGGGTGACCGTAGTCCATGAGATGACTGCTTCCTCACGAGGGCGTACGACGCTGTGAATTTGATTTTGAGGGGGGGCAGTTAAGGACGGCTCGTATTCGGGTGGTAGCCAAATCAGATTGGACGTTCCTCCGATAAATTTGACAGAGCCATCGAGCATTAGATCTCCCATTTTGCCCGAGAGCTCTGCCTCGAACTGGGCGACTCCAGAATCACTGCCGTAGATAGGTGAATCGGGGACACTGTCCTCGACAGCACCCGTTTCTTGGTTTTCGATGGCATGGGCGAGTTCTTCCAGACTATCGCAGGTGCGGATCTGATGGACAAGATCCATGACCTCGTCCTCCTCGGCATTCAAAATAGCCTGGATGAGGATGTGGAGAGTAGAATTCTTAGCCTTGGAGGCATCAACGTCTTTCTTATAAACTCCCTTCCTTCTGTGATCCGTGTGTGGGGCATATTCACATTCGGTCATGTAAACTGAGGCACATGCGGCACATTTTGGTAGATTGCCGTCGCATTTTGATTTCCTCTTCCTGCACGCGACACATGCGGTGCTAACACATCTTCGTTTACTAGCAGCACTTGTATCTTTCTCCTTGTTCTTGTTTTTGCTTTTCGGGTTGGATTGTGTTTGGGATTCGGCGGGGTTGGTCTTATCGGCGGATGGAAGTGGCTCGGTGGGGTTGGTAGAAGTGTTTTCAGCCGTCGCCTCTTGGGGGTCCGGCTTTCCAGACATGGTGACGGAGTGATGAAGATGTCTGCGGAGCTATCGCGACAGCCTCACTAGAGGTCAGATGGCTGTGATGGCTGTGAAATCCCGTCCCACACAGGTGCGGGCATTAACATGGTTTCGCTGGGGCGAGGTTGAGAACAGAAGAGCGTAAAGCGATAGAGTCGCTTGATAATGAGATGGAGTGGGAAGCACGAATCGCATAGGTTGATAGCAGGGAGTGTATTAGTCAGTCGTCATGATAACGATGGCTTCCAAGCCTGGGTACAGTGTTTTGGCTGCAGATGCGGACGCGAAGATCCTGAGGAATACTGTTGAGGGAATGGGTGATGATGGTATCGGATTATCCTGCTGATATGTGCTAGAACCCTGGTCTTGAAGATACCAGTCGGAGTCCGCTGGGCTTGTGATTTTGGTTGCGATAAACGAGCGGGAGTGAAAAGAGACAATAATGCGGGTATTCGGTGACTGGTGGGAGGGAAGGAAGCGGGTGAGTAATTATTGGATGGTTACATTCTATTGGTCGAGATGGAAAAATTGGATCTGGCAGGCGCGAGGGGATGAAAGGAAGTAGCGGGGCGAGTGCGGAAGAGATCTCAGCCTTACGAAGGATCCATCTCAGCCTTGTGCTTGACCACAAGCCTTTATAGAAAGAAACAAGACACATGTTTGATTTCATGGACACGTTGGAACAAGACCAAATGGCTATCTCTCATCCTTCAAGATATCTTTTCACCACGGCATTGTTGCTATACCAAAAAAGTTTGTAATAGGGTAGAACCCTTCCTACTCGAACCGAGACCTGTGGTACGAGATGAGGAAGGGTGAAAGCCAGGCTCCGAAAAAAACCTTGAGGCAGCCGAGCCTCATTCCAGTATTCTTCATATCTAAAAGGTTCAGTAAATACCGGCAAGTAGTGTGGCAGCTGGGAAGCCTCTGCCTCAATGTAAACCCATTAACGCCTTGCTGTTCTCGTAAACCACATAGCTGATGCTGACAGCTGGTGCCACCTTCAATAAATTGGGTGTCACGCCTTTGAAAAGTCCCCTGAATCCCTCTCCTTGTATCGTCTTGACGGTGACGTCTGCAATGCCCTTGTATGTGGGCGGGTGGAGAACGGTCCCCTGGGCCTGTAAACGTGTTCGGAGCAGGTTGATGGGGTACACCACGGTGGCGCTGATGGCTCCTGAGGTTGCGCCGATGATCCCTGTAACCAGGTTGCTCATATCCACATCTTCTTCGTGACATCGATTTTTCTTGGCCTTCCTTGCCAGCACATAGTGCTTACAATTTTCGAAGATGAACAAGTCGATTGCGCTGTAGGGAAACATTCCCGCCAGGCCCATGCCCAAGCCTCGGTAGTATGGTGCCATCCTTCCCTGTTTCCACATTTTGCGTGCTGTCTGGGCGATCAGTGCATTGCCGTGAAGTCCTCCTGATACCGTCTCGCATTGCATCCGGCTACACGTACATCCGTCAGTGCAGTCGAAACTCAAGGGCCAAGATGACTTACAACTTCAATGTGTCGAGAGGATAGACGACACATTGTGACACCACTCCTCCAATTCCTCCAGCCAAGAACTGGGAAGTTGGATGCAGGTGTTTAGGGTCCGAGCCTTCGAAATCGGCAAAAGCTCTTTTCGCTGCTTCGTAGGCTCCAAATTTGATGGCCGACTCGGGCATCACCTTGACAACATTGAGCCCGTTGCCCGCAAACAAGCTTCTCATTCCACCCGCCGCCCAAAGATCTTTACAAGCGTCGACTAGTGGACGTGCAAAATGCGTCACCACTTTGACAGGGGCACCTTTCCGGGCGGCGTCTAGAGCAGCATGCTTAGGGCTGGTCTGAGCGATCAAGTAGACCTTGAGGCGATCGAGGGGAGCAGTAACTGTTCGCGACACCATGCCTGCTAGACCACCCGCTATGAAATAGCCTAGCGGTGGAAACAAGTCTGTCAGCATTTCTAGCAACAAGTCAGAATATGTGAAAATGCAAGTGCGAATGAGATGCCCAAGGACGAGGGTCTCCCCAGGAGTGCCTTAAAGCCTTATCACGTGAAGCTTGTGGCAGGGTGAGTCCATCGTGAATGGACTAATCGCGAACATACCGAAGCCCTGCAGGGTGTCATTGATATGGACATCTCCTTCTTGATTGACGTTTGCTGTTGCAGAGTAGTAGGAGATGACAGCACGGAGGCTGGGCTGACCGGATGGGAGGAAGAGGAGGAAATTCCTGCGTGTGTCAATACCTCTCTGGTGGGATTTCAGATAACGATGGTGCTCACCTCCATTCTTCGAAGCTGATTTCTCCGTCATGGTTAGTATCGACCTCATCGAAAAATTGATCCAGCTTAGCGTTGCTGATGGTCAGACCAGATCTGCTGAACGCAGCCCTCAATTCATCCTTGTCAAGTGCCCCACTATTGTCTCGATCGATGCTTTCAAACAGCTGCCACAATTCCTTCTCTGCGTGCTCAACAAAAACCCTGAACTCATTGTACTGTATTCGACCGTCTCCCGAGGTATCGACCACTTTTAGAACGTCATGAAGAAGGTCGTCGGCGTTTTTGAGGGGGTGGTCGATGGTGCGAAGACCTTTTTGAAGGGCGGAGAGGTCCAGTTCGCCTTGATTGCGGGTGTCTAGTTTGCGCCATAACTCCTGGATGCGCTGGTCGCGGCGCTCATTTGACTCTCCGTTCATACTACGCCTTGTATGACTGGGGAAATCGTGGTTATCTTTGAGGGATCATGTTGGTGCCAATACCCTGCGGATCGAGCACCGTGGATGACGTTGTGGTGAAGAGCCGAGAGATTGCTGTAGATTCTGGCAGAGATTCGAGGAGAAGTGAAGTCTCCTGGAAAGCCAGCAGGAGAAATGCAGAAGAGGAGACAAAGGCAGAGGATCACAGGATTTACATTTGCATCTGCTTTGCTGCGGGTGGAGCTGGTGATCAAGCTTCAACCGCAGAGGGTGACGTAGAGAAAGAAGCCAGGACAAAATAGGGCAACAGGCGGTGGCCACCAGTGTTACCTCACTTAGCAATCTTGATTCCTCAGGCGGGCGGGGGCTGAGGTTGTTAAGGCTAACAAGGCTTCTTAGGCACCCTCGGGCCAAGCGCACGCCTCCTCGGTCCCCAGAACGCCTCTTGCAGCCTGCCCAACGAAGCCCCAAGGCCCAATGGGCGACAACGGTGGAGGATGAGGGGCTGCGTTTAGGTATTTGCAGCCCGCTCGATGAATAATAGTAATGAAAGCGAGATTTTTACTGGCTGACTGGTCAAGGAAGTCACGGGAGGACATTTCAAGTGGAAAGAGCCCTTACGTTCAACTCAACTTCCAGAGCCACATTTTGTCTGGTTGTCTTTGGCTACGCATAGAGCAGGCGGATGTCAATAAACAATTCTACTTTTCAAGTTGGAAGGTCTATACCAACACTGCTAGAGGCATTCAGACAAGGTAATTGGCGACCCTCCTTGATAAAACCAGTGGTGGCGATGGAGATGGACGGAATCTAGCCACCAGCAATATAAACATTTATAAGGCAATCGCCATGGCGAGAAGGAGGCATCAACAGCGTTGCAACTGCCCTACAACTGTTCTATTACGTCTGTCAGCGTCTTGGCCAACAGACCAATTCTGACGCGTTTTGAGGCACTCATTACCATTACCATCAACCATATATCCCCTTGGCCATCATGTCGGCCAATTATTGGACTTCGACACAGAGAAAATATTGGACTTTTACGCCTGAGAAGCTAGCTGAGAAGCGGCACGAGCTGGAGAAGACCTACTCCAAAATCTACGAGCAATATCCATATCCGGATCGAAGACACCTGCTCATTTTTATCAGAGATCGGATTCTACAACTTGCCAAACGACTGCCCTTCCGCCAACAGTGCGTCGCCACTGCGCTGGTGTATCTTCAACGCTATTTTCTCTTCTATCCTGTTCAGAACCTGAACCTATATCTCATCCTCGCAACCGCCTTTTACTTGTCCTCTAAAACGGAAGAGTCCCCTCACCACATTCGTCTGGTTGCAGCAGAAGCGAGACAATCATGGCCTGAATTCGTTCCAGGGGACGTCTCCCGGCTGGGGGAGATGGAATTCTGTCTCATATCCGAAATGAGATCTCAGCTCATAGTGTGGCACCCATATCGATCCTTGCTTGACATGAAGGAGAATCAAGACATCAAGTTGACCCCCGACGAGCTGGGTCTTGCGTGGTCCATAATCAATGACAGTTTCATGACCGACTTACCACTGACTTGTCCTCCTCATCTCACCGCCGTCATTGCCATGTTTCTCGCCGTTATCTTCCTTCCTTCAGCCAAAGCATCAGGGGCATTACGGCCATTAACGCATGACACGATTGCCAACCCAGAATCTGGACCATTTTCATCTTTTGGAGGAGGCCGCCCAGCAATGTCTGGGCCTTTTAACAACCTCCTCACTAGCTTACATATGTCCGGCCAGCAAAACGGGTCTCAGTCTAGTGCGAACCACTCAAACCCGAACATGATGGGTCAGGCTCCATCGCGCTTTTCGCACCAACACAGCCTTTCCCAGTCGTCCACTCAATCTCAACCTCAAACTTCCGCCGGGAATACGTCTGTCCCGACAACCGGACTGAGCGAACGTGAAAAGACAATTCAGGCTATCAAAGAATCAGAAAGAATGCAATCCCTGATGAAGTTCCTTGTCGAGTCTGATCTTGATATTCCGCGTATGATCGAAGGAACACAAGAGATGATTAGCTTATACGATTGTTGGGAGCAGTACAACGAGAAGGCGGTAAAAGATATTGTTGGTCGATGTCTAAAGGCTAGAGGGCTGGACTCTTGAATTGCACCCAGCAAAATCTGCTCGTTTGGTGGGACACGAAAATGATACGCATTTCGTGTCCTCCGGATATTCACGGTGTTTGGGTGTTGGGTACCTGGCCCAAGTACTATTTAGTAATAGGTACCTAGGGGACCTGAGATACACACACAATATTTTACTATTTTTCCGCTATAAAATAACGGAAGAGGAAGGCGATGGCGGGTACTCTCCACAGGATCAATGGTTGAAAAAGAGCTGCGAGTATCGGAATATAGCTAGCGCATCATTTGTCCACGTGCAGAATTCGCTTGTGTGCGAAAAAGTTCCGAAATGAGGCGGCCAGACGGCACCCGGATCACGGAAACAATACGCTAGAAGGTTGATTGGAAAGGTCTTGCCAGTGCCTGGCCAAGCAGGCCACTTAGGCGAGGTTGGTGCCCAAGAGATCTCCAATGGTCCGCCGATTGAAGTCGTGGTTGGGAAGGTCATGGTGCCTGTAAGCACACGCAAACGCACAGCATAGGCTGTAGGCATCTGCCCGCCGGAAGGCGCCTAGGGTTGCTCCACTGGTGGAGTCGCCCGCCCACAAGAAGAGCTTCTTTCTTCTTTGTTACGCAAAAGAAACCGCAATCAGCCCTGTGGTTTGTGGGTTGATGTCCACTGGGCCTCCTCCAAGGCATGAAAATGCCGATGATGGTTAGCTCTCCCCTCCTCGTACGAACCCTATCACCCCCATAGCGTATAAATCTACAGGCGGAAGCTGACAGCGTGGACAGTAAACTCGGTGCCTAGGATTTGAGCGCCTCTGGACCCTTGTCCACTGACACACGGTCTCCGTCATCAGATCCTCCACATCATCCGAACTCACGGACTGCCTAATTCCACCAATTACCGTTGCCCGATAGCCTTTTCAATGCCCTCGTGTCTCTTATCTTCAGCACCGAACTCCCTTGCACACGACCTGTTTGTGCGTCGTGTGCGCCTAATCCCACCCCCGGGCCCTCGTGTCTGCATCGCCGCATCGCCCGGACCCTTTCTTCTCGTCTTTGTACCCCCATCGCCCCCATTCTTGTGCATATCGTCCTCGCCTGTGGTTACTCTCCCTGCCTCATTTCATCAGCTGTGACAGATCCGCAGTCTACTCGTACCTGCGACACACGCCTGCATCTCATCTGGCCTCTGTAAACTCAATCACCTTGTCCGTTAACCTTCCTCCACCTCCAGCTTCTCCTCGTTTATTGTATGCCAGCCATCCGTACAAGACATGTTACCATCTGACCATCGCCTTTTATCCGTCGTCAACGCACACTATCTCTAACAGTCTCGATATCTACCTCTCCCAATTCGATGTAGTCTCTCGTTCAATTCCGACATCCACTGATTGGAGGGACCGCACCACCATGACAGAGTAAAGTTCCCAAATCTTTACCTGTGAACTCCTTATACACGCCCATCATGATGATGGTCCCTCGATCCTATGGCCATGGGCCTCGGGCAGAAAGAAGACAATCGGACGCCAGTTTGGTGGAGAAAGAGCCCTTGCCTTCTCGACGGTCGATAGATCTATCCTCCCGTCAGTCCACTGTGTCAGCATTATCTCAGAGCTTCGCTGGAAACACCTCTCCCTCGAACAATCAGCATTCATCCCACCCCGTCAAGATCCCGCCTCGCTCTCCAACTCGGAACAACAATCAACCCCAGAGACCGGCTCCTTCTGCCCTTCAGATTCCACCACCACCCCCACATGTCACAAAATCCACCAGAAGAGAGTCTGTCAAAGATATATTGTCGTCTACAACGATTCCAGTGAGGCGAAAGCCGAGACCAAGGGCTGCGCAGCGTTTACCTAAGGGCGATTATGTCGCTGATTTCAGCAAGCTCTTGAGCGAGGACTTTCTTTCTCCTAGCGATGGCACTCTTTCAGCAAGCTGGTCGAATCCCCAGTTTGAAGGCTTATTTGGGAACATTGACTGTTTCATGGACAATCAGATGATCGTGGGAAGCCAGGGTCTTGACACTGGTATAATGACAACCAGATCACTATCAAGCGAATCGATGCCCTCCTTGGCTTCTCCTGACGACTTTAGCACATCCGGCCTTCCTTCTCCTGCTACCTTGAAGTCACCCTCGGATCACAGGTTGCGGCAAATGGCTAGTTCCGAGGATTGCAGCACTGAACATCCCCTTCTCCACGACTCTGCAGACGACGACGACGAAGTCGTCACTGGGACCACGACTCCGGAGCTGGCACTATCGCCTCTGAAGCATTCCAACCGCAAACCTTTTATGCCAGAAAAACGGCCCATTTCGTTCAAATCCAGTTTGACCGCGTCACTCAAAGCCCTGAGATCTGCAGCTCAAACCGTGTCAAATATTGCAACCACGCCTCCTCTGATCCAACCAGACGAATTCCTAGGTGCTTCTGTTTTCGATTTCAAACCCGAACTCACGGACGATCGGCGCCCTCCGCCATCAAATGCACCACCGTCCGCTGCCATGAGGCGGTACCTCAACCCCCGTTCCATGATCCAACCCGATTCTCCCGCCCAGCTCCACTTCTGGCTCGATGAGAAACCTGTCCCAGGCGCACCAGCCAAAGCCGACGGCAAATACAAATCCAAGGCCAAAAAGAAAAACCAAAACCAACCGTCAGGCACCCCCAGAACCAAACTTTCTCGCAACCGAATCGCTCAACTTCCCCCTATTGTACAGCTATCGACATGTATCCCTTCCACCGTCCGTACTGCACATGCATCCAGTCCCCCCACCTGGCTCGACCCCGATGGAACCCCGAGCAACAAATACCGAGCTGCACAAGTTCTCGCATGGACCAACAGTGGTGAAGGTGGCAAACTTGAATGTCAACCCCGACCCCGTGAGCCCAGAGACAACCGAGATTTTCTTCGCACTTACGTATGTGAGGCTAACATGCGCCGATGTGGCAAACTAAAGGAGGAGGCCGTCGGCCATGCCAAGCTATGGCTTCCACCGGTGGTCGAACCAAAAGATGAAAAAGGTCAAAAGGTGGAGAGAAAGATTGGTGCAGAAAGATGGACGGTATGGTCCATGGACGATGTGTAAAAATGAACGAATGGAATGCACTGCACTGCACTGCACGGCAAGCATGGCGTATGAGTATCACGGTTGGGATGGGACTTTGGAGTGTGTGGTGTCTGTTTTACATTTTCTTTTCTTTTCATTTCATTCGGTTGATTTGCAACATGATCGTTTTGTTGCTGGGGGAGACTACTGGTTGACTACCGGTGTGAGTGAGAGCGGGAGCATAGGGTATGAGAGCAGGAAGGGGATCGGGGTGAGCGATGGATGGATGTATGGATGGGATGTACGAACGACCGATCATGACCAAGTTTTTTTTCTTTCATTATTTCCGCCACAGCTATAGGAGGCTGAGAACAGTTCTCAGCGTGCGGTGAAATTGTACCAAAAAGGATGTATTGTGCAGCCAGGCACGAAAATGAAGACGAGGAGAATATTTTGGGCCAATTGGGCTTCTTTTGCTTTGATTTGCTTTTTTTGGAGAACGAAAGCCACAAAGCCATGGATGGAGCCATATTATATGGAAAGAAGAGCCGATGAGGTTGAGTGAACAAAGTAAATTAGGTATTCATGTTTGTATATGAATGAGAATACTTTGGGTATTTGATAAAATTGCATAACAGTAAATTCGAAGCATATGATCAAAATATCACATTATCACATTATCCAAACGGTATGGTATAATATATCTATGCATGCATGCATGCCTTGGGATGTATTATTATTATTACTATTATTATTATTATTGCAAGACAAGAGTCTTCACTGAATCAGGTAAATAGTAATGAATGATCAACGGGAATAATCCTATGATATTAAACTATGTATTTATTTGGGTATCGGTTTACTCGAGATCTTAACTCCAGTCGTATGTCTGACACTCGACCATACACTCGCCGAGACCTTGACGGGCAATTTCCTACCTTTGAGACGTTGATCAATCAACCACATGCCGACCACAAACTCCTCTCGATTCAACGCCTTGGATCCCGGCGGACTGACCAGGTCCCAAACTTCCTCTAATATATCTCGAGGAAGACGACTACGGTTCCAGATATCGCGAACGACTACGTTCATTACCATGTCGTTCGAGTTATCTCTGATGGCGTTGGCGTTGGCGTTGGCGTTGTCACCACCACCGTCAGAGTCGTCGAGGATGTCTTGGTCGAAGAAGAGTCCTCGGTTTGCGGCCCAAACTCCTTCGTAGCGTTTACGTTCGCGTTCGGTGATTTTGTCGCGCCAGCGTTTGCGGTCGCCTTCGTGGTGCATGTTTGGATGACGGCGCCAGTGTTTTCGACCTCGTTTGGTGGGTTCGTCGGCGGATTTGTCATCGCCGGGGGGTTTATGACGGAGCGTTTGCCGCATGGTTCTTGGGGGTGGTGGGTCAGGAGGGGTTTTGTCGGATGGTTTGCTGGGCCCGTGGAGGTGGCGGTGATGGATGCCGACAGAGTCGAAGATTCCTACGGACCGAGATCGTCGTCGGGGTTTGGGTGGTGGTGGAGGCACGGCGGGTGACTGGATCCGTGAAGGGGCATGGGATGACGCTATTGATCCGGCGACCATGGCGTCCGCTAGAGCGTTGATAGATCTTTGTTTCAAATACTCCCGATTCGCGGTCTGGGTGTTGTTGTTGAGGACTGCTTGTTCCTGAGCAGCCACGGCAGCTCGGTCAGGACGTACAGCCACCGGAGCTGGTAAGGTTTTGTGACTCGGCTCTGATGCATAGCGGACCGCATCGGTCTCAGAGTCGGTCTGTGGAGGAGTGCTTTTGATACTTGGCGGAACTGAATCGAGAGCTGCTGATGATGCCTGAGGAAGTGCTCGTGGGCGCGTGTCGGTCGGGGGAAGATCTGTAGGTGGGGAGAACGTCCTCCGAGCCATCTCAAAGGCTGATGCATTTCTAGTGGCTGTGGCTGCGGCGGCGGCTCCGGATGGGGAAGGACTTGATATCGGTGAAGGATGAGATAGCTGCGCTGCTTGAGGGTTCCATTGTGCGATAGATCCCAGCTCCTGCTTCGGTCTTTCGCCAGTCTTTTGAGGAGCCACCGAGCTTCCTCCGGTGGTCATAGAGGCTAAAGCACCAGCAAGGGCATCGTGATTCTTAGGCGGCCGTTGTGGAGATTCATGAGAACTGTTGGTACTCAACCCACGTGCACGCATGACCGGGGGATTTTCTGGTGTTGACAAGTGTGACCCAGACTTGTTTCGTACCAGAGCAGGCCTTCTGACTGGGCTTGTGCTGGAGGAGGCAACGACAGCGGCCACGGTAGATGTAGGACGTGCGGGATGAGGTTGGAAGTTTCTTTTCGAGGGCGAAACTGAGGAGTGATGGGATGACGACGAGGATGGTGCGGCGAGGTGATCCGTTGTCAAGGGCCTGCCTCTAGCAGTCGTTCCACTATCATGGGTCCGTATCGAAGGGCTCTTTTGGACCGAGGCTGAAGTCGAAGCCTGGGCCTGTTGTTTCTTACCGGCAGCTGCGGCAGCTGCCAGAGCACCAGCGGAAGGGTTCTGAGGAGGAGAAACGACAGGCTTTTGAGGTTTCAAGGAACTGGGCCCAAAGGCAGATGCAGCACCGCGGAGAGCAGGAGAAGCCACTGGCGAGTTGGAAGGAGATGCCGCATTTCGTCCAGCATTCTGCTGAATGAATGGCGGCTTGGGCGCCACAGGTGGACGCCGCGCCTGTGTCTCAGTCATCAATCCATGAACAAGTCGACCAAACAGAGATGCAGATGTCGCATCGATCGCAGGACAGCGGAACGAGTGTGGATGTTGCTCGGGATGACTAAGGATGGTATTGAAGCATATCAGCTCCCGCTATATGAGGCGTGCAATCACCAAGCAAAGACTAGAAAGAGTGTGGATGTTGGCGTGGTAGGTACAACATGTGTGGGATGCCTATAGATAGGTTCTTGTCAAGAGGAGAGGAGGATTGAGGGATGCTCTGTGGGATTTGCAGGGTTCTTCATCCGTAGTAGTTCTCCATAGTCGTCGCATCTCACCTCAGACATTCAGGTACCACAGAAAGTTGGAGCGTTAGGTCAGGGTGTCAGGATGTTGGTGAAGACTGGGGTCCTGAGGGGCGCAGGCAGGATTCTGCCACCAATAATTCCAATACGGAGATGAAGTTGGTTACTATTGCGGTTTAGCTTCATTGGCACGTGCTCCAATAACTCTTGTCACTACCGGAACTCAGTCAATCCGCACGTGATGACGCGTCTGTGCGCACCATGTTGGGTTTAGCGTCAACGGCGGGCTATAATGCCAAGATAATGTCAGTCTCGCGAGGCAGGAACCATGGGCACGATGGGCACGACAGGGAAATACACCTGCCGAACCACGTGCATAATGAAACATACGTATCTGTTCTCTGTGGATGTGATCATGATGAGCAATGTCAGTAGATGAAGGGGGCCTTTGGATAGACGATTTCTCTCTTGCAGACTCGAAGGTCTGTAATGTGAGTTCATCAACCCCCCCGCGTTTACGACCCTCCCTTCACGCCGACTGAATCTTCATCACGATCCTTATCAACAGCTACCAAGTAACGGCTCAATGATTCTAAATCTACCAGCATCATGTCGGATCAGGAAGACATGGACGTTGACTCGGTGGGTGGCGTTGAGATCAGCGACCAGCAGGCCCAAGAAGATGAACTCGACTTGAAATATCCCAATCGCCCTCGCAACAAGGGCGAAACGCTTCCATTCTCCACCCTTTGCAAGGATTTATTCAATCCATTGATAGAGCTTCGAATGAACAAGCAAAAGGCTCCCCCTGGGAATCGTCGAGCATTGGGCCCCAACAGGACTAAGTCATCGCCAACCGAGAAACGAAACGCCCTCATTGAACGTTACATCTCCCGTTGGCGTCGTGAGGTAGGAGATGATTTCTATCCTGCTTTTCGTCTCATCATCCCTGATAAAGACCGGGACCGTGCTATGTATGGTCTGAAGGAAAAGGTCATCGCTCGCCTCTTGGTCAAGATGATGAAGATCGACAAAAATTCAGACGACGCCTTTAGTCTTCTGAACTGGAAATTACCACACCCAGGATCTACAACTCAAATTGCAGGTGATTTCCCTGCTCGTTGTCAAGATGTTATCTCGAAAAGACCCATGCGAATCGACCCAGGAGACATGACCATCCAAGAGGTCAATGAAGCCTTGGATAAATTGGCTGCAGCACCAAAGGAAGAGAACCAGCTATCAATAATGACGGAGTTCTACAAGCGTATGAATGCTGACGAGTTCACTTGGCTGATCAAAATCATTCTCCGCAGCATGAGGATTTATGCCACTGATAAAACATTCCTCCATCTCTGGCACCCAGATGCCGAGACTCTCTTCAACGTCTCTAGCAGCCTGAGAAGAGTCTGTTACGAGCTGTACAACCCCAATGTCCGCTTAGAAACTGAAGATACTGGTGTCACCTTGATGCAGTGTTTCCAGCCTCAAAGTGCTCGACACAATACTCACCTCTCCATCGCGAGTATGATCGAAAGGCTGCGACGAGGAAATGAACCCCGAGAATTCTGGATCGAAGAGAAATTGGATGGGGAGCGGATGCAGCTTCATATGATTTCCGTCTCAGATGACAAAGACACAGGAGTAGAGGGCGGTAAACAATTCAGGTTCTGGTCTCGAAAGGCCAAGGAGTACACATATCTATACGGTGAAGGCTTTTACGATGATAAAGGCTCCCTGACCCAATTTATCAAGGGTGCTTTTGCCCCTGACGTTGAGAGCATCATTCTAGATGGAGAAATGATTACTTGGGATCCGACCCTGGACAAGATTGTCCCGTTTGGGACCCTCAAGACCGCCGCACTATCCGAAATCAACAATCCGTTTGCTAATGGTATTAGACCATTGTTCCGGGTGTTTGATATTCTTCTGGTCAACGGCAGGCCCTTGACCCGCTGGACTTTACAAGATCGAAGAAATGTGCTTGAAAGGTCGGTCAAGTCTGTGCACCGGCGTCTGGAGCTCCACGACCACATTGTCGCAACTACTGCCCAAGAAGTCGAGGACGAACTTCGTAAAGTGATAGCAAATTCGTCCGAGGGTCTCTTATTGAAGAACCCCCGTTCCGCCTACCGCCTGGATGAACGCAATGACGACTGGCAAAAGGTCAAACCTGAGTACATGACCGAATTTGGCCAATCACTGGATTGCTTGATCATCGGAGGCTACTATGGAAGCGGACGTCGTGGAGGTGCGATCTCAAGTTTCATGTGCGGGCTGCGAGCACCTTCGACATCGGATAGACGTCGTGGTGATACTCAACCAGGAACCCAATCATCAACACACTCTCAAGGCCCAAGTCAGGATGATGCTTCCAATCAGCGGTTTCTAACTTTCTGCAAGGTTGGGGGAGGACTTTCTGCTAGTGACTATGCAACCATCCGCCACGAGACCGAGGGGAAATGGATCGACTGGGATCCGAAGAATCCTCCCACAAAATACATTGATATTGGTGGTCCAGCGACTGCTGGCCGTGAAAAACCAGATCAGTGGATCAAGCCAGAAGACTCCCTTGTGATCGAGATCAAAGCGGCGGAAATCACCCTGAGCGATGATTATGGCGCAGGCCTCACGCTGCGATTTCCTAGGTTCAAACGTCTACGAAGGGATAAGTCCTGGGAACAAGCCTTGTCTGTTGATGGCATGGAGGACCTTCGCAAAAAGGCCGCAAAGGACCACCGCGAGAAGGAGATCAAGATCGACGATGAGAAGAAGCAAAGGCGAAAGCAGGCCACCGCCACGAGGAAAAAACCTTTGACTATAGCTGGCTATCATGCGAAGGATGTGAACAACGTTGAAGAGCCTGTGGGACCTAAAGGGGAAGTCTTGTCTGGCTTGACTTTCTACATCATGACAGACTCCGGTTTGAATGGCTCCCAGAAGAAAACTAAACTGGAACTTGAAGCACTAGTAAAAGCAAATGGTGGTAAGGTTGTCCAGACGCACTCCGCCGTTGAAGATACAGTGTGTGTCGCGTCACGCCGAACTGTCCCCGTCGCAAGTTTGATCAAAGCTGGTAAGAAAGAAATCATCAAACCAATCTGGATTTTCGACTGCATCGATCAAGCGAGAAAAGACTTTACAAGGGGATTACCGGAGATTGTTATCCCATACGAGTCCGAGCGACATTTATATTTTATTCCCGAGGATAAAGAAGGGGTATGGGACGACAACGTCGATGAATATGGCGACTCGTATGCCCGCGACATATCGGTGGAAGAGTTGACCGCCACCATGGCGAAGATGCCAAATGCAGAAGAATCCATAGACCGAAGCGACCTAATCCCCGCCATCTTACCAGACTTCATGAACTTGAGAGGTACAATGTTCCACGACTTGACAATGTATCTCGATTCCGGTTCAACGACAAAACAGCACCGTAGTGGCTCTTCGAGCGGTCCAGATGGTCAAGCCGACGTCGAAGACCCTCAACTTCTCACGGCACGTAATACGATAATGTTTGCTGGTGGGAAGGTCAGTCCCAGTTTGACTAACGAGGTGACGCATATTGTGGCTTCATCTGAATCGGACCTGTCTCTGCTGCGGAAGGATCTGTCCAAGAGAAAAGGCAAGATTCCTCGCATAGTCACTACTGAGTGGGTCGAGGTCTGCTGGACAGAGAGCACAAGAATAGATGAGGAGGCTTATGACGCAAGGTAAGGAGCAAACCCAGGGCAGATCTGATACGCTATAAGCACCGCATGGCATTCGACTAGCCGTTCCTAAATGAGAACGTTGGATATGATATGCTGGAACGCCTATGATGAGACACGAAACACCTCTCAATAACGATCTGCATACGAAGCGACGGGTCTTAGCCTTGTAAACCATCTTGTATACTACTTTTATTTATTCATGACCCATTGAGACACACTGCCTCTCAAGATACGGGGTCGTATGCATGCTAAGATCACACCCATTCTCTATTCTTCTTTTCCATGAGCACGCAACCATTCAGCGGCACGAGCCTTGACTTCCTCCACCCGACGCTCATCACCACAACGTTCCTCAAACTCCAACCACCTCTTGAAGAAGTGTTTAGCCTGCTTGACCTTCAACTTCGAAGATCCGCCGAAGATTCTCTCAAAGACACCTCGAACCTGTTCCTTCCCATCCTCATCCTCACTCCTCTTCATCTCCAGATCCAGCAAAACATTGAACACATCCACCCGTTTCGGAAACGAACTAATCAACCCCTCAAAAATCGTCCGTCCCCTCTCCGGCAGACCATTCTCCGATTTAAACTCCAACTGCGCAAACTTGGACGTGATGTCGAAATGCGTGAATTTCGGCAACGTCTGCAACGCCCTTGAAAGCAGCGCACGAGCTTGATCCGCCTGGCCCGCCGTATCAAACAAGAACGTCGCGTAATTGATCCAGATCTTTGGATCCTGCGTGAATTTCTTCAACATGCGTTGAAACAACGCATCGGCCTTTTCATGCTTGCCGGAATGGATGTAGATACTTGTGAGACGCGTGTAGATGTCTTGAGGGTCGTTGTATTCGCATGCGCGTTTGAACATGGCGTCGATGGATTCGTCGTCGCCATATGCGTTTTCGAGATTGAGCAGGGCGATCCACACATTGAGTTTTTCCGGGTCGCGGCCAAGACCAATGGATTTGAGGCCGCGTTCGCCGATGGAGCGGGCTTGGTCCGCGTCGCCGAGTTTCAGGTGGAAGGCCATATATTGGAGCCAAAGGAGGGATGAGTCCGGTTCGCTGAGGAGGAGGAGTTCGAAGTCGTCGCTGGATTGTGGTCCGTCTGTGTCGAGATCGCCCGTGTGGTCGACTTGGATTTCGGCCCGGTGTTTCTTCTTTTTCTTCAGCGAGGGGCCTTGGGTGTTGGTGTTGGTGTCGGAGTCGGACTCGGTGGGTTTGGAGGTTGATGGGATGGTCGAGTCGTTTACGCCGTACCAGTCGAATCCGCCGACCGAGAGGGCTTTGGTTGAAGGGGGAGGGACTTTGGCGTTTACGAGAACGGCTTCTTGGTCGCTGGCGGCGTCGTCTTCTGAAAGATCGATCGCGGACTCATCCTCGTCATCTTCGCTATCTTCCTCTTCCGCTTCGCCTGCTGCCTCGACATCTGCCATTTCGACGTCAAGCTGAGCACCTCCATCAATCTCAGAGTCATCGTCATCGTCATCGTCATCGTCATCGTCATCACTCATGCTCTCGTCTTGATCCGCAAAGTAAGAAGGCTTCATGCCAAAATTCACTCGTCGAGCGCTTGGCTCTATCTTGAGGACTTTGGCCTTGACTGTGTCTCCTTCAGAGAATAATTTCGTGGCGTCCACCACGGGCTTTTCCGCTATCTCGCTGCGGTGACAGAGACCGCGTACATTCTCGGAGTTGTCGACACGAATGAAAACGCCAAAAGTCTCGGCTTTCGCCACTTTACCTGTGACAATGTCTCCAACTTTCAGGTCGTTGAATGTGATTGGAGCCTTGTAGTCAGGGCTCAGTGCAGATTCTTTCAATGTCATTTGCACGTGGCCGGAGTCGGAATCAACCAGGGTGATCTTGCCTTTGACAAGCTGATCCCGTTGGAAGTGACTCTTCCAGTCCTTCAAATAGCTGTCCGAGAGGTTGCTAATCCGCACAAACGCTGTGATGCCGTGGCCAAGTGTGACAAAGATGCCCTTGTCGCTCACATTGCTGATGAAGCCTCGAACCACAGCATTGACTGTGAGTTGTTTGGAGGAGGTGATTTCAGCGTCTTCAACTTCCAGAGAGGAGCTGAGAACCTTTGATGGTCGGGTAGAGAGGAACACTCTTTTGTTTGGGATGTCCACCTTGACGACGGAAACTCGTAGAATCTCATTCTTTTGATATTTCGCTGGGTTTGCTTCAGTGTAGTCATCAGCCATGTCGATGAGCTCGACTACACCAACGACCTGGTCGCTTAATTGAACAACCACGTTGCGCTCAGTGATTTTCGTTACACGGCCAGGGAGGACCAGGCCCTTTGAAATGGCTTCCAGGGTGAGAGGTTTGCTTGAGGTTTGGGATTTTGCGGACAAATCGAGCCGGTTCTTGTCAACATCGACTGCCAGGACATGGACTCGAAGGGCGGATCCAATTGGGAAATTCTCCTCAAGATCAGCAACCAAAGACAGATCATCTGAGACATCGGTTGCCTTGATCCTCCCACGCACCGTCGGCGAAAGGTTGACCCAAAGCCAACTGTCGGAAATATTGTTGACGAAAGCCAGCCATTTGGACCCAACCTGCACCTCTTCAATGGAAAGGTTAGTTACCTCTTTCTTGGCGATAGTGCTGGGCTTGCAAGATAGCTCAAAGACGGTGTTCTTTGAACTTCGATGGGTGAGGGGCAGAAATCTGTGGTTTCTGGTGTCATGAGCGCCGAGGATTTTGACACTGAGCTCTTCTTTACCCGAGAACTGTTTGAGAGGCTTCTTCCGGTCTTTGATCGCTTCCCAATTGTCAAAAGCCTCGGATGCATCAATCCGACCTTGAACGTCCTTTGCTAATTCAACGTTGATTTGGGTGTCCTTCACCGAGATGACTTTTGCCTTTGTAACTTTACCAACAGCTAGATCATCCCACGTCTTCAGAGCCGGATCGACAGGAGCCGATAGGGGAACTGTGCCTGGAACAAATGATTCCGTCTTGGATCTTTTGTTTCCAGTTTGTTCCAATCCCCTTTCTCTCATTGTAAGCCAAAACCGTGGAGTAGCGCCTTTGTAATCAATACGAAGGACCTTCGCTGAAACTGTCTGCAGCTTGGACATTCCAAAGTCTGGGAGCGACTCATTCTCTACAGGGACTTCGTTCCTGGCGAGGAGCCCGCTGATTCCTCCTGCAAAGCCGACGAAAATGCCAGCCTCGGTAATGTTAGAGACATATCCTGTCACCGAAGCATTTTCACTAAGTTGATCAAAGCTTCGGAGCAGCGTTCCGTCTTGAGCAGCCTTGATAAGACTCTGCTTGTTGCTGAGAAGTACAAGTCGGCGATTTGACTGGACTTGAAGGATGAGTACATTCTCCAGTTTCTGTCCGACTCTAAGCTTGCTCATGGCCGACTCTCGCTTTTTCAAAGAGCCATCAGAAACATGATCGAGTGTCAATCGGGCGATCGCATCGGATCCTTCTAGCCTGAGCAGAACATCATCTTGAGACTTCTCAAAGATGGTTCCTGTTGTCACTGTACCACTTTGTAGTTTGGCAAGAGAGGTTTCAACAGACGGGCCGGGCGTGTTGACCTCCCTGCAGGAAACGGTAAGGCGTTCCTCGCTCGGATTGACGCTGATAGCATTGACTGTCAAGACCTGCCCAACTCGGAAGTGCTCCCTGGCATCTTTGATGAATGCCTCACTCATCTCTGAAACAGGGAGGAAAGCTTTGACAGGCCCAAAGAACTGCATGACAGCTCCTGCACGATCAACTTTGAAAATCGTGCCCACCGTGGAATCGCCCACTTCGATGGCGTCAAAACTCTTCCACTCCTTTTGATCACTGTTGACAAGCGACTTCTTTAAAGTCAATCTCAGCCGCTTTCGGAGAGGATCTGTAGACAGCACTCGTACAGTCACACTCTGGCCTTCTCGAAATTTCTTCTCAGGATTCTTCAGTTCGATGTCAGACATGTGAATTGCAGGGACTAAGCCAGAAATTCCTTCCGCCAGTTTGACGATGAGTCCCTCGACTCCAGAAGAGCCGATGAGAATCGTTTCGATTTCTCCCTTCGCGACAGTGCCAGTTGGGACGTCTTCAATGCGCAGGAATGGGCGACTTAGTACACTCTGCTGTAGTGACACCAGATATAAGTTGTCAACAGGATTGTACTCAAGTACACGCGCGCGATGCTCGGTTCCAAGTTTATAGGCACCGATGACTTCGGAGATTGAATCCACTTTCTTATCGGAAAGTCTTGAAACATGAGCGAAGCCGATGGAGTTATCGTCAAGGCTCAGATATACACCCAAGCCCGGCTCAACGCGAATGACTGTTGCAGACTCAACAGTGGAAGACAAAGGGATTTGGCTCCCACCAGTGCTTGAACTTTCGAGATGGATAAGGTTCGGAAGGATTGAAAAGCCGATGTGCTTGTTCTCTGAAAGAGGAAACGTACACAGCAAGCGACCTAAGACCTTTTGACCTACGTTGTATTGGGAGAGAAACGCTTGCTTGTCTTTGAAGGATCCAGAATGGACGACATCTGCTGTCACATTGAGAAGACCCATCACTTTCCCAGAAAGACCAGAATCCGACGTTTCGCTTATGAGAATCTCAGCGACAGCCCCAGGGAGGAAAGAGTCCACAGAGGACGCCGACTTCAAGGCTGGCGCACTAGTGAGGTCAGCCGAGAGTTTGATGACCTTTCTATTCGTGTCCGAATCCAGTGCAACGCAGAGCAAGACTGCTCCAGGCTTGAAGTCATTGAGGGTGGCACCAGGAGGAAGGTCCTTTTTCAAAATAAAGCCAGGAGCAGTGCCCTCTTCGAACGCAAGATCAACGGCCAGACCATGGTCTTCAACACTGTTGACAGAGACCTGAACTGAGGTCCCAACAGCTAGATTGGAACGAGAAAGCCCTTTGTTGGTCAACAAAGGGTCGATGGACAATTCTATCCGTTTGCGAGCTTGGGACTTCGCTGCAGTTTTCTCCTGCTCGGTTGAAGTGACGGCGGTGCGCAGATATTGGCCAACACGGAAGTAATGTGATAAATCAATATCGTGATCAGAGTCCTCAGCCCCAGAATCGCTTGCGTTGTCGGCATCTCCATTGCTGTTGAGAAGCAGTTGCACTGTTTGGGTAAATTTGGGCGAGATAGAGGTCAGAGGAACATGACCCACGAGGTTGTTTGGCAGTGCAACGGTCAGAAATCTCGGACCAATTGAGATGATTTGACTGAGTATCAGAGAGTCGGTAGTAATTCTTTTGTAACTAAGACCGCCAATGAACACTTCTGGCTTTTCAGTCTCTGCGCTCTTTTTTCGATCTTTGTTTTTGGTCTTGCGGGGCTTCTTCTCAGGCTTCACTTGTTCATCTTCAGAAGACAGACCTTCCTCTTCGTCGCTTGAGTCTTGTGGTTTTCCGCCAGGTGCACCAAACAAGTCTTGTGCCTTTTGATGTTCCTTGGTAGCATCTCGGACTGCTTTCGCTTGGATTTGCCTTCGCTCGATTGGGGTCAACAAGCCGGCGCCGCCTCGAGGAAATGCAGGCTGCTCTTTGGACAGAACAGATGGGGGAGGTGGCTTGGAGGAAGGCTGTGACTCTTTGGATGAGTTCTGGGACCTCGGCTTTGTAGACTCTGCAGATTTTGACGGTTTGGCCTTGGAGTCGGATCTCGAGCGCTTGTTGGCCGACTTTGTATCGTCTGTCCCCAACTTCCTCTTGCCGGACGACATGGTGGTTGAAATGAAGGGAAACTCGGGGTGCCGAAGACTATAGAGTCCAATTTTTGATGTGGCACCACTGTTATGTATGGACCATCCTTGAAGGATATGATATCTCAGTGTCAGGGCTATAGCAGACAGAGATTGATTTTGGACCGGCGAAACCAAGTAATCTGCATGCTGGGAACTTTTTTCTTTGGAGAGGATTTGAAGGACGTGTGACAACCAATCGGAGTTGAATCTGCGGGGACGAACTTCTCGGCAGACCTTCTATACCCGACCACCGCGCTTCACCTTCCAATCCCAGACATTATTCACTAACTGCGCGTAACTTGCCATATCGGGTACTATTTTTCTTATCGATAACGGCGCGTCACGTCGCCACAAGTTAACGTGTCGCGTGTATCTTCCGCGCCTCCTCCGCTGGAGCCACTTCACGTATCTTCAATTACCAGTAACAAAGAGCCTGCATCAATCCACATTGACCAACTGGGCCCAAGGCAGCACCAAGACTGGCACTGTGGCGCTGCACCGTCTTTGCTAGAGGGCTAGAGTGACTATGACCATCCTACGCCTACAGCTCTCAGTCCTCCTTCGCTTCTTCCTTCCTTAACTAATACCTTCCAACACTTGCCTCTTCCTCTTCCAACAATGTACCCTTCATAAGCCGATTCCAGACCGTCCTCCCCTTTTGAGACCTTGCCACCAGTTCAAGATTGTTTCCCTTCCGCTATGGACCGGACTCCAGAACGGTCCTCGCGAGCTGAAGGCGTTACCTTTGCTTTACCACCTACTGAGAATCGAAGCCCACGACGAAGTCAACGAGTGAAGAAGAATCCCTCGGTCACCCCAAAACGATTCACAAAGTTTTTCACTCCACGACATCGAAATGTTCAACGCGCTGCCAGAGCCTCAAGAAAAGCCTTACAAGAGCTTTCATCTGCAAGGCTGAACAGTCGTGCAGATACAGTGTCTCAGCTACAACTACCTAGTCATGACGACGCTGACAGACCAGCAAAGAAGCGGAGGCTCTCTTTCAGCTCGATAGCGTCTATACCGTCCTCCCCTATCAAAAGAGCCGAAAAGCATGATCAATCCTATTTGAATCCTCAGCATGACGACCCATGCATCGAGACAGATAATGACGATGACGATTTTGGAGATGACTGTCACGACGAAGATCAACACGATATACCTAGAATCTACCCTCCACGCATCTTGCCCTATCGAACGATTTCCTCTTCTGCCAGCATTCTTTCTAAGCAACTTGGCGGAAGGACAGCCGTCGGAGAAACAAATGACAGCAGGTTATGGGAGCATGACACAGCGCACTTCTACAGCTCTCCTGGGGATGTCTGTAATTACAGCGGTACACTTCCCGCGTCAGCTGCACTGCCGTTTTGTGTGGCAAGCTTCAACAACACCCCTTTGGTCGCAGTAGCCGACGAAGACGGCAATGTTCGAATCCACAATGCTTGGGACGAGGTCCGAAACAAAGGCTACGTCAAGTTCCCAACAGTCATCAAAACATGGCGTGCCCATGATAATGCCATCATGGACCTGGAGATTTCTTCCGACGACAAGCTCATTGCTTCAGCCTCCGGTGATCAGACAAGCCACATCTATAACATCGATCGCGGCGTGTCCGTATACAACCTCCTGGGTCATACTGGATCAGTCAAGAGAATACAGTTTCAGCCAGGCTCTGGTAATCAGATCCTTGCCTCTTGCTCAAGAGACGGTACTGTATGCATGTGGGACTTGAGAAGTCCGCAAATTGAAGGTCCTACACTCATGACCAAGATGTCACGGCTCGAGCGTGAGATCTGGAGCCAAACCAAGCAGATCTCTCCCGAAAACGAGATCACCGAGGCCCACACATCGTTTGACAAATACAAAAAGTCCAGAGGCAAGCGTCAATCCGGGACCGTCGCGGGAAGAGCAGAGTTTGCTATCACCACATGTACCTTCATCAGCGAAAGCCGAGCCCACTTACTTGCCACAGCCTCTGAAAACGATGCGATCATCAAATTATGGGATATGCGCACATCATTCACACAGACCAATCGACCAACCCCTGTCTCAATAACACAGGAACCCGCCAGCCATGCCCAACACCGTCAATTCGGAGTTACCTCAATAGCCATGAGTTCAGACAGTTCACGACTGTACTCTGCCTGTCGAGACCATACTATCTACGCATATTCAACATCCCATCTCGTGTTGGGAGGGGCCCCTGAAATGTCAGCCTGCTCGACAGCCCGCTCCAAACCATTGAAGACATCTAGACCGGGCCTGGGCCCTTTGTACGGATTCCGCCACCCAGACTTACGAGTTGCAACCTTTTACGACAAACTCGCAGTCCGATCCAGCCAGCTTGAACAACATACAGAGAATGGAAATAGTGCAGAAATGATTGCGATTGGAAGCGGCCAGGAATGTGCCGTGGTGTTTCCTACCAATGAACGTTATCTCAACAAAGCCTCTCAACAATCAAGTCCGTTGGAGTCTAGATCAAATCCGAGACTAACGCGACTTTCGTCTATGTCCGACCGTGTCGCGGGTAAAGTCTCGGTTGCTGAGGAAGATATGGATGATTTCCCTATCTACCATCACGGCACGGCGCTGGTGGGCGGACACACTAAGGAAGTGACGGCGGTGGCGTGGGCGAATAATGGTAATCTCATCACTGTGGCGGATGACTATACGAGTAGATGTTGGAGGTGGAATCCAGAGAAGGCGAGGGCGTTGAGATTGAATACGGATCGCGATATGGCGAGACATAACAGTGGTTGGGCGGCCGTAAGACCCGAGTTTGATGATGATGACGATGATGTTTGAAGGGTCAACCAGGATGCGACATCATATGCGACGACGACGAGTGTCCTGGCTAGATAAGTGTCTGGGCAATCATTGTGTCCAGGATAGAAGTCCTTGTCCATGTTAATAGTGACTGTCGTCCATTCATAGAACATCGTTAGAAAAGCAAGTCATCACAAAAGTCCCCACAGTTGATGTATGTCCTCGGTGCACAAAAGGTAATGAATGGTTTGAAAGCTGCCCGTGCATTCTACCTAGGTATCTATCATGAACGAGGAACGAGGCTACAGCGCTTGAAATATCTCCACATAACGTCATGACCCGCATTCAGGGAATTCATCTCATTTATTTTTAGAACCCAACGAATTCAATAGTTCATTCGTTCAAAGGTGCATGTTGCATGCCATATTTCTCGAGTCATGGCTTGCTCGAGGATGTGCATAGGCTGTGCATCAAAAGATGCTCTCTCAATTGACACCAAGTCAAACAACCGTCATATCGTATCACTTCCTCACCACCCCACCACATTTACATTCGCGGATTTGCCGCTTCAGGTCTGCGTTTTGTTGTAACAATTTGTAATTTTCGTCCTCTGCCTTCACCAACGCGGCCTTGTATTCCTCAATCGTACGATGTTGACCAACCTGCCGAGTTATACTACCGCCCTCCTCGGGGCTGTTGGGTGATTTATTCGGATGCAAAATCGGTAAGTTAGGACCAGGGCTAGGCGCCGACCGGCCCGAGCCAGCGGTTTGAGGTCTCTTGGTTGAGAGTGATCGGAATGAAATGCCCGAACTGCCTGTGTGTGGCCGGTTCTCATCGCTACGTGTTGAGATTTGGAATGTCGAACTGTTGATATTGCTGGCTTGGTCCGGATCTTGTTCTGAGAGGATACCAGACAGGCCTGGTCGCGTAGATTTAGGTCGGCGACTTAGACTTCGTCCTAAGCTGGGGAAGAAGCGAGGTTTGCCTCGGTCTCTTGTACTACCGGTTAAGGCGGGTGCTTCTCGAACAGTGCCGTTGGATCGTGTGAGGCCGGAGAGAAGTTTTGTGGGGGATAGTGCTCCTTTCCGGAATTCGTGCTCGATGCGCAGAGAGTCGAGGATGGTGGATGCGGCGGGTTCCATTTCGCAGATTTCGGCGATGATCTTACGTGCTTTTTCTAGAGCGCGCACGGCGACGGTGAAGTGGGTGGGTACGTGAGGCAGCATGGTGTCGATGTACAGCCCATATCGTGATATTCGTTGTGCGGGCTCCATAAGCAATGATGGTGCTTGTTGGACGGATGTGGTCCCCTCTTTCAAGTATTGGGTCAGATTCGATGAGATCTGAGCGTGAAGATCTAAGTATTCTCGATATGGCATTGGGAATTTGGGGAAATGTGCAAGGAGGACTTTGGCAAAGGTGTATATGCCCATAGGATCCTTGGAGTTCTGAAACAGAGCCGGGTTGGACTGCGCTTCTTCTAGGAAAGTCAGAGCTGCGTCTTCTGAGTTCTGTAGGGCTGTCTCGATGTCGTCTAGGAATGCAAGATTTATGTCTTTGATTTGGTCCAGCAGAGACGGAAATTGAATCATGGCATTGACTGCTTTCTGATTGCGAGAGCTGGCGAATTTCGAAGTCAGGGATTTTGGGGTCCGGCCCTGGGTTGTTACAAGATCGATTAAATCCTGTAGTCTGGTGATATATCTGTCTTCTGTGTCGACAAACTCGCACATCTTGAAGCGCAGTGACTCTAGCTGGTCCAATGAGTGTTTTGGTGCAGAATTCCTAGGTCCAGGGGTTGAAGTTGAAGTGGAACGAGTTGACTTGCCACTTGGTACCCTCCGACCTGGTGTGGCTGCATGGGTATGGCGAGTAGATGCGATATTAGCGGCATCTGCTGGAAGAAAGGAAGGTCGGGTTTTCCTGATGGAGGCCAGTGGTTTCACGGGCGAGATAGGACTCGTGGGTCTCTCCTTTGAGAAAGGTCGTAACGCATCGAGTATCTCGTCTGTGTTCAAGACCTTGCTCATACGACATGTCACTTGGGCAGCGTGCGACTGACCCCATTTCAATCCCAGTCCATCTTGCTGGACTTCTTCTGCAATCGCATTTTTTACCTCGGTCGGTACCTCTGAGAAGTATCTGCATAGAGCGAATGCGATGCCACGACAGACATCATCCCTTTGTCTGTCCTCTGGCAACTTATGGACGGCAGAGTAGTAGCTGCTATTAGGGGCGACTGAGAATGCACCAAAACTTTTGAATCCGGCTGCGCTGAGGATTGTGGCACGGATACGGGAGGTGGTCGACAAAGAGCCAACAGCCTGGACAGGGGAGTAGAAGATGAGGATTCGAGGTAGGTAGGGGGGGTCTTCAGCGTAGTATATTGTAGGCTTGTCGGACGGGTTGAGCACGGCCGACAAGGCAGCCAAATTGCCCGACTTGGACATGGCGGGACGGAGGAGGGTATGGACAAGGCGAGATATACAGGTCAACAATAGGTCGACTGTGACAGGCTCATGGTTGGCAAAGGATAGTCTGAAGACGATAGATATTGTTTCAGAGAGGTCAAAACTGGTATTGACGCGTCCCGGACGCGTCGTGTATTATGTTGAGAAGAGGTGGTGCAGCTAATAATGCGATGTGAGGCCTTGTGTTCTGGATGGACAAGTCAAAACCTACCAATTGAGGAATGGAAAATAGATTGCCGGATTAGGTACACGTGATTAATTCTCCAACTTCTGTCAGCCGCAAACCTGGAAATCAAGGCACATGAAACTCGTGACTTTTCGCCTGCCAGGTCTGCACGACGACAATGCCACAGAGTACTGAGCACATGACTGTGACATGCACCTGTAAGCTCTAGCCTGACACGCCTGACTACAAGCTGTCGTGGCTGTTGTGGCTGTCTTCCATGTTTGAGATTTTTACCCTTTATGGTAAGATGTTCACTCCACGATCTGCTGACGGTCGAGTCCGTGGGGTAGCCGAGATATGACCTGAACTAGAGCGGATGATCAGAAGTCCCCCCTGGTTCAGAAAACAACAGCAAGTAATCGAAATCAGATTGTTGAGGTAATCATACAGGGAGTGGCATGAGGGGCTTATGGAAGGTGCAGAACATTCCTGCACGAGTACGTAATTGAACAGGTACGGGCAGGCACCATCCCCAAAATTCCTGTGCCTGTGCCTTCCCAAACTATGCGTAGGTGACGCTGCCTTAACAAACCTCGAAGGATATCCAATTGCAGCTCGAAGATGACAAAGATTGAGATTACCTACATTGAGGATGTCACTCATGGACTTTCTTTTGTCTTTTGTCTTGATCCAAGGTTTCCGACTGAAACTAGGTATTTTTAATATCTCAAGAAAATCATGTAGCAGTATACAGCATCCGAAGGGTTATGTGACTGCCATCTGGAGGAACTTCCGTACGCTCCGTATCTGTCAGCTGGTGGGGCTTGACTTAGACTTGATTGGGTTGCTGCCTGCAGTTTAACCTTAGAACGACTTGTAATTGTCATGTTCGGAAACTTCACGGCTCTTGCCCCGCAAACATGGAATTCGCTTCCATGCCACGCCTCCAGAGCCACAGAGGCCTCCCTCCCCTCTCCCTCCTTGTTCTCATCTGCGGGTCATGCCATGCCACGCACTGCCGAGCATGTTGCTATTCAACGTTTGGATTCGTGGTGTTTTTCAATGTGGGCTGAAGCAATGGCCCCGCGGTCTCAATTCTCCGTCTACTCGTCATGATGCCCGTCAGCAATGGAGAACCTACGAGTGGACATACGTCAGGGTCTGGGTCATTCTGGACACTACAGGGCGTCTTGATTCCCGATCATTCCCCACACTGCGTCAAAAACGCCTCTCACAGGCCAGCAAATCGGTAGGTTGTGTAACTCGGGCTTTTCTGTTCCTACTGGGTATTCGTCGAAACACAACTGGCTCCTCAACTATGCCTGTTTCTGACGTTGTGGCTAACCTCAGCCAACCTCGAGGAAAAGACGCTCGGACGAAGTCATTGGCTCCAACACTAGTAAGCATGGGTCTGTACCGGCGGGTAGCGGAGCCTGATGGCCACCGTACCTGGACACTGTTGCTATTCATTCTATTGATTACACTCGAGACATCTCCTGGATACTGGACCTTGTATATCTACCTGAACGTTCCCTAAGTTACCACATTCCCGTGAAACCGTGAAGCCGCCTGCCACCTGCAATCCCTCATGACTCGTACCATCAGCCAGGTTCTTCATCCGGCTTTCACCATGGCCACCAGTCAGCGACCCGCAGTCCGATTCCTCGACATTCGGGGCGATAAATCCGGCCAGTCCCTTCTCAGCATGCTCAAGGAGTCTCTTGATCCGCCAAACAAGCAGCCGAGGAGCTTCCCTACTCTGCTTCTTTACGATGGTTGGTGTGATGATGACGCATCGGAAAGAAGGTACTGATTTCCTGCAGAGAAGGGCTTGAAGATCTTCGAGGAGATCACATATCTGGATGAATACTATCTTACCAACGCCGAGATCGAGGCTCTTGAAACACACGCTCGAGAGATAGCGACTCAGATCCCCCGGAACTCCCGCATCGTTGAGCTTGGAAGCGGGTATGTTGGGCGTCTTGCCTTCAAAGGTCGTTCTAACCCTCAGCAGAAATCTCCGCAAAATTAACATCCTCTTGGAAGCTTTTGAGGCTGCTAAGAAAAATGTCGACTACTACGCTTTGGATCTCTCGTTTCCTGAACTCCAGCGCACTTTCGCAGAGATCGATACTAGCAGATACCAACATGTCTCTTTCAATGCTTTACATGGGACCTATGATGATGCTCTGACCTGGTTGTCGAACTCCAGCGGCGATCAGTCGACCTGTGTCATGACCATGGGCTCATCCCTAGGCAACTTTTCGCGACAGGATGCTGCTGGATTTCTCACCAAGATCAAGTCTGTCCTTGGGCCTGCCGATCTCATTCTTGTTGGGCTGGATGCCTGCCAGGACCCCCAACGTGTTTTTAAAGCTTACAATGATTCCCAGTTGGTGACGGAGAGGTTCTATAGGAATGGTCTCGATCACGCCAACTCACTCCTCGGCTATGAAGTTTTCCGACAAGAGGACTGGTCAGTCGAAGGTCGGTACGACGAGCAGCTGGACAGGCACCACGCAACCTACCTGGCTCGGAAAGACATTATAACGAAAGACTTTAGCTTTAAGAGAGGGGAAAGACTCCCTTTCGAAGAGTCCTTCAAGTACTCAGAAGCCCAGAGTGATCAACTGTGGCATGACAGTGGCCTGGTCCAGCAGATGGCGTTTGGGAACAAAAGTGCTGACTACTGTAAGGGTTGGGAGTGCTACTCTCAGAACCAACGCTAACTCTTTGCTCCAGTCATTCATCTCTTGTCCCCAGCAGCCATCAATTTTGCTACAAAGCCTGCCGAGTATGCAACTAACCCCATCCCATCTTCAGATGACTGGCAGCAATTGTGGACTGCTTGGGATGTTGTCACGAGGTCTATGATACCCAAGGATGAGCTTTTGAATAAGCCAATCAAGTTGCGAAACGACTTGATTTTCTACTTGGGGCATATTCCCACCTTTGCTGGCACGTATCGTTCTTCATCATGACCAGCAGGAGACTAACGTCTGAGCCAGATATCCATTTCACAAAGGCAACAGACGGCAAGCCAACGGAACCGGCATCATATTGGTCAATTTTCGAGCGTGGGATTGATCCTGGTACGTCGACGCGACACGCATTTTCCTGTTATAAGCTAATTCCTTCCCAGACGTCGACAACCCAGAACTTTGCCATGACCATAGTGAAGTGCCAGATTCTTGGCCGGCTCTCAATGACATCTTGACATATGCAAAGCGTGTTCGCTCACGCATTGCCGACAGTCTCGAATCTGGCCAGGCAGTTCAAGATCGGAGACTTGGCCGGGGACTCTGGCTTGCATATGAGCACGAGGCAATGCATTTGGAAACGTTTTTGTACATGCTACTTCAAAGTGACAGGATCTTGCCACCTCCTGGAACGGAGAGACCCGACTTTAGGCAGATAGCAGACGAGGCCAGAGCAAATCGAGTTGCAAACAAATTCCATCGAATTCCAGCAGCAGAGGTCACCCTCGGTCTGGATGATCCGGAGAATCACCATGGACCGGATAGATATTTTGGATGGGACAATGAACGACCTTCCCGCACTGTCTCGGTGGCGGCATTCGAGGCTCAGAGCAGACCCATCAGCAATGGTGATTACGCATACTACCTGGAAGTCACCGGCAATTCGTCACTCCCGGCTTCCTGGATCGCAAGACGGTCAGTTTTGAACGGTGTCAATGGCGCGGTATCCAATGGAGAAGTCGGCAGAGAGGTGGTATCATCCGAATTCCTCGGTGATAAGGCCCTGAGAACTGTATGGGGGCCTTTGCCACTCAAACACGCACTGGACTGGCCCGTGATGGCTTCTTACGATGAATTGGCCGCTTATGCCAAGTGGGCCAACGGAAGGATCCCAACCTTGGAAGAAGCTCGCAGCATCTATCACCATGTCGAGAGCCGAAAGGATACATTGGAGAAAGTGCCGAGCAAGCTGATCTCCGCAGTGAACGGGTAAGTTTTTGACCCATGACCTTTTGATAACCTCTTTCTGACAGTCACAGTCATCTCTCAAACGAAGGCGTAGAAGAAACACCACCGTCCAACCAATCATCAGGGGAGGCTGCCAATGGCAGCCTTCCCCCAAACCCCAATGAGCTCTTTGTTGATCTCAACAACTGTCCTGTTGGCTTCAAGACTTGGACCCCACAGCCTATCACCCACAGCAGCTCTCTCAGAGGCCAAGCAGATGTAGGCGGGCTGTGGGAATGGACCAGTACCCCACTTGCGCCATATGATGGATTCAAGGCCATGGACCTGTATCCCGGCTACACGGCCGACTTTTTTGACGGCAAACACAACATTTGCCTCGGAGGCAGCTGGGCTACTATTCCCCGAATCGCCGGGAGAAAGACATTTGTCAATTGGTATCAACGCAACTATCCATATGTGTGGTGTACCGCCAGACTTGTCAGAGATATTGCTGAGTAGATCGGTCCGAGAGAACCGAGAAGATGGCGATTCACAAAATGTGTGCACCCGTTCCTCCACCATCGACAACAGCCAAAGATTAACGATTAGGGAACGCACTAAGGCGAGACACTGTACTTGACTTGTCGCTGGTGCGTCTCGGCTACACAATCCTGGATATCTCGGAACATTTGCCATCTCCGAACAGGGCATGTTTGTTTAATGAGGCTGAAGCCGAGGCCGGTTGGTTTTCGATTGAGATGTGGACAGAGCAAACATGAAAGCCATCGAGGCTCGGTTGCGAATACAACTGCTTGAAGTATTGATTGGATCATGAAGTAATTGGGAGCATATTCCACTCTGTCCTCACCTTCCAACCATCAGGAAATCTTGAGGCCGTTGGACAGCGCTCATACTCACTCCTTTGAAGAAGATAATACATGTCTTTGTTTCGTCTTTGTTGGCAGACAACCAGAATGAACACTCCTATTTGCGTTGTCCTGGTTCTTCCTTCAACTGCTCGGTGTGTCAAGTTGGGCTTCGGGAGTGGAACGGTTCGTCCTGGTGCTTTGGCTTTCTGATCCAATCCATGATGGGTCTTTGGTAATCGGCACTTTACATGAGTCACTCGGAATCGCCGTGTCTCTATCGGGCGGGTACTTTGATCTTGGATGGTTTCTTTGTGTCTTTCGTGGTGTCTTGTCTTCCACCCTCAAAGAGGTGCCAACGCAGTGCCGCCTTGCCCACCTCCCAGACCCTTTGTCAATGTCAGCCACACTTCAACTTATGGATATTGTCTGACCCCTCGACTCTGATCGGATTTTCCTTTTTCCAGAGTCATCATGCCTTAGACTGTCTCATCTAAGTGCCTACCTAGGGTGAGTCGTTGGCAGAATTCGTATTACCATCTCCCTTCACTGTCGTTACGTTCTTAGCGTTCTTCTCGTGCCATACCCCTGCCATACCCCGTTTGACACACTGAGGGTGAGAGTGAGCTGCGATTGACTGTCGCCGCAGCCTTCACTGTCTCTTCACTACCACCACGCAACACTATCTCACCAACAGTTACAACCAGTGAACTGTTTACAGCCATGCCCAGGCAATGGTTGTTTTGTTAGTAGTCCGCGACTGACCAAGATCAACATCGCGGTCTGTCGTTCAACTTCTTCATGGTCTTTGTTCGTCTTCCTTTCCACCACCTTCTTTCATGTCTCTCTCACTCCATCCCTACACCAAAGCGACTCAAACAGTGAACACCAGTCGCCCTTCGCCCTTCTCAGCTGACCACTGCGCTCTGACCGGTCATCCTCATTCCTTGTGCTGTTCGACTATCCCTACAAGAACCCTCAAAGTCCTGCACAGGTTCTCTTCCTCTCTGCACTAACCTCGACGGTTGCGACAGACATCAGTTCACAGACCAAAGACCCCAGACCTCAAGCCCGAAGTAAGATCCATGAGGGAATCTCTCACCAAGGAGGCGATGGCGACAATGGATCCCGCAACACCCAACGCACCCTTCAGGTGGGAAACCGCCTCAGGTCTAGGTAAGTGGCGTCATTGGTGTCGTCGTCGGCGACTTCTGCGACTATCGTCAGTGAGAATCATTCATCACAAGCTAACATGATGTACAGAACACTCTTGCTATTCATGCGCAATGAAAATGAGTAACCCCAAAGCTCGACAAACGTGCTATGGAGTTCACTCTATACCATGCTACCGCTATCATCAGACCATGCATGCAATCGGAACCAGTCACAATTGCTTTGCTTGTATTTCAGCTGATGAATTGCATGACAACCGTCATCGAAAGGTAAGTAAGGAGAAACTTTTCCAAAACAAAGCAAATATGGCAGATGCTAAACTTGTTTTTTTATACCAGATCGCTGACCTCGTAATGCAATACAAAGCATGTGTTTTTTGCGGTGATCCGGCCACATTCAGAGTCCCCCGAATGGGCCTGGAAGAGCTCCCTGTCAATGTCAACCGAGGCCGAAATTTCGATGCTGCCCCATGGCTTAACGATTTTCAATTTCTCGATGCTGAAGCTGACGCTGACAACAATGCTGACAATGACAATGACAACGATGATGATGACGAAGTCGCCAACGAGAACGATGACGAGCTCGAGCTCGAGCCCGAACACGACGACACCTCAACCATCACATCCACATCCTCAACATCCCCGCTTCCCACCACCGTCACCAAACTCACCAAAGCCGAGCTCCGGGCTCAGAAAAAAGCCGCCAAAATGGCCAAATCAACCAGTAAAGCGGCGAAGAACCAAGCGAAGCACATCGTCACCGTCCGCAGCGAAGACGTCGACGCCGTCAATCGCATCTTGCACGGTGAAGCCGATCAACAAACACGCAACACCCATCCATTGGCATCCGACAAAACGATCGAAGAAGTCATTGCACGCAACATGGGGTTTATGTCGAGTATCCAAGCGCATAAAAAGGCTTTGATGAATAGTATTGCTCAACGACGGCGGAGTCGACGAGAAAAAGATCGCCGAAAGTCTCAGAGGGGACGACTCAGTGTTGCGGCCGAGGATGAACTCAATGAAGAGGCTGAGGAGTTGGAAACGCTACTTACAGCGGTGCTGGTCAAGTTGGGGGTTGGTGAGCAGGATGTTCAGGCGGTTCGGTCGAGTCATGTGCAGCTGGGAAGTGCGAAGAAGAATAATTTTGTTTCGACGAATGGGAATGGGAATGGAGATGCCATCAGTACTGCGAATCGTCTGTCTATTGTGGCGAATCTCAAGACTTTGGTCAAAGATGATTTGGAACGTCATGAGAATGAGCAACGAGAGACGTGTATTCGAGCTGGTGGGTTCTGGCGATATGTGGGAAAACCGGTTTTTGATCGAATGACTCAGGTGGCGGAACAACTTGATTGGAAAACGGGTGCCAAAAACAAAGATGTGAAGAGTCATGTTGTCGAAGAAGCAGAAGTGGAAGCAGAAGAAGAGTGAGAGATAGAGCGACAGGCTGTGGGTTTTGGGGGGTTGGGCTGGCTTGTTTATGCTATGACTGTGCTGGATAGATTGGGAATGGGTTTGCTTGCTTGCTTTCTTGTTTTTTTGTCGGTGGCAATTGGGAACGGACATGCGACATGGAACATTGGTCATTTGGGCTTGACCTGAAGCTTTTTGCTATGTGTTTGGCGCAATGCCGGGAATGTTGGAAAGCAACACAACGCAATGTGCTGGAATTGATGATACCTTGTCAGGGATTGGGTTGGGAAGGGAGAGGTATCTCATGGAGGAATATCAATGGAGGTGTACAATATTGTTGGGTACATTAGTGCTCTAGACTGAGAGAGAGCATCACTGGCAAAAGGCCTGCCTGCTTGCAAATTCAGGTCTTGCTCCTCCTATCAACTCAAGTCATCTTGCTGGCTGTAGACTGTGTATCCCAGCGTTCGAATAATCCTTAATGCCTTCGTGTTGCGTACACAGGAAAATACTGCTGACCATTTTCCTCGAATGATGGTGGAAAGAAACCATAGTAAGAGAGCTTCCATGCACCTCTATTTCTCTGTTGTATCACCATGATTCATACTCGATTGTGGTGGAGTATTATTTCATTTTATTTCATTCCCAAACTTCATGTTAGCTCCTCCTCTGAAGGTCCACCGGAGGTTGTGACTGATGTAGTTGTTGCTGCTGTGGTTGTTCCTTGGCCCTGTCGGTGAAACCCAATAACCGTCCGATGACACCACTGGGTTTCGGTACAGGACATTCGCCTGCTTCCCTCTCTAGAGCATCTGCCTCGCGCTGAAGTTCTCTAAACAACACGGCTTCCTCTTCTAGCTCCTTCTGCTGCGCCAAAGTCAACGCTCTTCTGACTGCTGGCTGGCGTGCTGAATTCTGTGTGCTGTCGCCATCGACAGTTTCAGGCGATGAAGATACAAGTTTCCTCCTCATTCGCTGTGGTGGTATAGGCTTGCCTTGTTCGTCAAATTGAGGTGGTGAGTCGGCGTACCGCGTTCGTGGTCGCGGGCAAGGGAAAACATGTGGAATGCCTACTACCACAAACGATGCAAGTAATGTGCCGGCAAATAGAGTCGACGTGGCCATCGACCGTGGATGTAAATGTGGAGGCATCTTGTATGGAGGTAGGGAGGATGAGAGAGGTGGTGGTAGGTATGGTTGAGCTTGGTTGTTTTATTGTATGGCCATGGGTGGAATGAGAATGAGGCTGGAGTCAACGAGTCTCGTCAGGGCGTGTGTTAGGTGTTGATTCTTCCGGAACCCACTGAGTTCATAGACTCAGCCTCGTCTTGTCCGTCTGTGTAGTATAGTAGTTGAGGTTGTTCAAAGGATCCAAATGAGTTGAAGGGCTTCCTGTGTGCATCAGACAAGACGTCTGCATAATTGTATGAGCTTCCACCAATCACGGACTTTATCTGAGTGGATGACCCAACAGGCACTAGTGAGATTACACAGAACATGATTGGCCACATATCCCAGCCTGCAAAGGCGGCAAGTACCTTTTTTCTTTCTTAACATCTAATCTAATCTCCTCGCCATCAAGTGAATTCCATCTCATCGACGCCTCCAGCCTCTGCAGATCCCAAATCCAGACCCAAACCCAAGATCCATCCAGCCACTCACTCACTCAGTCTCGCCACGACTTTCTTGCGCTTGTCAATCTCGATTCTGCGACAACGAGTAATATCTCACATCTCCCTTCCCGTCTCGCGCATTACCAGCATTGACATCCTGTTTCTTCGAACTCGCTTTTCGTCAGTTCTGAGCGTGTGTGTGCATCTGCTCCATCGATTTCAGCTGCGCTTCCCCGAATCTGCGACGTTCTTCCAACTTGTCCTTCTCCCGCTAAATTGACGACGACCTCCTTCGCGCCATCATCATAGACCAGTTGTTGCAGTTGTTGAATTGTCACATCCCCATGAAGACCATCTACACACCCAGCTCGTCTGTCACACGATGAGCGACTTAGATAAGTGAGTTTTGTTCGCAACCCCGGGGCAACTCACGCCGCTTGGGTGTGGTTTGATTCGGCTCACTGACAACCATCTTTAGAGCCATTGCGCAATTGCGTGCGTGTCGGCCGATTCCTGAACCCCAAGTTCGCGAACTATGCTACAAGGCGCGGGAACTACTGATAGAGGAGGGCAACGTGGTGACGGTGGATGCCCCCGTGACCATCTGCGGTGATATCCACGGTCAGTTCCACGACTTGATGGAACTCTTCCGAGTTGGTGGCGATGTACCCGACACCAATTATCTGTTTATGGGAGACTTTGTCGATCGGGGTTTCTACTCTCTCGAATCATTTCTCCTCCTGTTGTGTCTCAAAGTCCGCTATCCCGATCGCATCACGTTAATACGAGGGAATCACGAATCTCGACAAATCACCACCGTCTATGGCTTTTACGATGAATGTATCCGAAAGTACGGCAGCGCCAACGTATGGCGATACTGCTGCGAAGTTTTTGACTATCTCGCTTTGGGCGCCCTCATCCTCGGCGCAACCACTGACGTGCCCCAATCCTCTCCCAATTCAAACACATCCTTCCTCCAACAACAAGACACACAAACGACTCTCGCGCCGGACGACGACGGCGAAGTCGAATCCGAAGTCCTCAACGCCAACGGCGACGTCATTTCCAAAAGCCTCCGTCGCCAATTCACCCACATGAACCTCAACGCTCAATCATCCATGAACGCATCACGCATATCCCCTGCCCCAGATATCGACATCCCTTCCCCTCTCGACACCCAACTCTCATCCTCTCAAATGTCACCCCCCACAGGCTCACTCTTCACTCCACCCACCTCCACCACCGGCGCCGTGCTATGCGTGCACGGCGGTCTATCACCACTCATCGAAACCGTCGACAAAATCCGACTCATCGACCGAAAACAAGAAGTCCCTCACGAAGGTGCCATGTGCGACCTTCTGTGGTCCGACCCCGACGAAATCGAAGGCTGGGGCCTCTCACCCCGCGGCGCGGGTTTCCTCTTCGGAGCCGATATCGTTCGCCACTTCAACCACAACAACGACCTTAGTTTGATCGCACGCGCCCATCAACTCGTCATGGAAGGTTATAAGGAAATGTTCGACAAGACGATCGTTACGGTGTGGAGTGCGCCGAACTACTGCTACCGATGTGGCAACGTGGCCGCTATCCTTGAACTCGGTGAAGATGGCAGTAACGGTGGTTGTGTCACGAGAGCAAATGGAGATCAAGGTCGACGTGAACCTGTTGGAGGGGATGGCAATGGCGGTGGTGCCGGTGTACTTTGGAACCTGGCTACTCCGGGTCGCAGGTATCGTGTCTTTGAGGCCGCGCCCCAAGGGACGAGGGGTATGCCCGCGAAGAAACCGGTTGGCGAGTATTTCTTGTAACATTAGATTAAACACAAGGTTGGTAGGTCTTGTGCGAAATGCATGTGCTGTGCTATGCTATGCTATGCTATGCTATGCTATGATGTGTTTTGTTGGGACGGGATGGAATAAAATCGTGTGATATGATGAGATCGGATGACTTTGTCTTAAGACGTGTTGCGTTGATTTCAAGCTATTAAAAGGCATCATAGGTTCCAAGTTCTTCTTTCTCACGGTGAAAACGACACAAGACAATGTAAACGTTTGGGTAATTGTAATGATTCATTTCTTCATACTAGCATAAATGCATTTGTATCATGAAATCATCAAAATCAGTATAAGCATCGCCACCACCATGAACATCCACATTATCAATCCATTCCTTGCTTGCTTGCTTGCTTGGGGGTATATCACAGGTGTCTGTCCGTTTGTCTGTCTGTCTCTGAAGGGTATATCATATCTGAACCAACCAACCAACCAACCAAGCTCCTGACAATTCCATTCCATCTCAACACCGGTAGACAAAAGTCCATCATAAATCCAACCTGAAAAAACCAAAGACAAAAGAAATGACAAAAGAAATGAATTGAATTAGCCAGGGGGAGTCCAGTATCCAAGATCCAATAATGAAATCTATTCTCCTCGTCTCTCATCTCTTCACTCTCCGTCCATTCTTCATCCCCTGACTCTTCTCCTGTTTCACCCCATCCAGCAACTCCCTCGCCATTGCCTCTCTCTTCACAAACCCTCCATTAAACGTCTCCGGCAAGATCCTCGCACTATGTGCATGATCAGACGCAAACTCCGGCCCCTGCCATCCGTTCTGCTGAGCATATTCAACCGCCTGTTCCAAAAGCCCCGTCCCCACCCCCTTATGTCGATATTTCCGGCTCACAGTCCACCCACGAATCAACGTCGTGACAGGAATCTTGGCTCGAGATTTCTTCGGCGATGAATTACCAGGTGAAGTTGTCGTGGTGGAACGTTCACGTATACCGCGAATGACAATCGTTCCAATGACTTGATCTCCGAATCTGGTGAGGAGGATTTCGTCCTCTTCACCGACGATGCCGTTGTTGGGAATGTCTCGTCCACGGTTGAGCCATTTCCATGTGCCGACTCGTTCGGCTTGTTCGATGTATCCGCTTGAAAGCCAGCGGGCGGTGATTAGGACGGCCATGAATATGCCGGAGGTGGTGGTGCCGATGATGGCGAAGTCGGATCGTGATCCATGGTAGAGATAGTGGTAGCAGAGGGCGAAGGTGAGGATGAGGATGGCTAATGTGGTGGGGTGGAAGAGGATGGCGGTTGATGCTAATTGTCGTTGTTGGGCGACCGAGTCGGCGAGTAAATGTAGACCTTCGACTTTGTCATCTTCTGTTATGGCTGGTTGGGTGGTAAGTCCGGGGATTGAGTCGAGTGGGTTGGAAGAGGGGGTCGAGTCGCTGGTGGGAGTGTCTTGGGTGACGTGGTAATATGTAGGATTTTGGGCGAGGGGAGAGGGGGATGGAGGTGGTAGGAGGGTTCCGGATGATGGCATGGCGACTGGACGAAGACAGTCGGGAGTATTGGCAACGGATGAAGGAGCGGAGTCAGACTCTAGGACGAGGTTGGCTCGAAGAGTAGAGAGAAAGGCTTTTGGGAGGAGAGGGTTGTCAGCCATTCATTCGTAATTTACAGTTGTGGTGTGGTCACCACGGTGGTATATATGCTCACCCGCAGAAACTCGTAGTCCTGGTATCCTGTCGCTGACGGAAAGTGCTGGATATCTACCAGAATCCTGGAATAGAATGGTGGGAGAAGCGTAAGAAGCGGCGGATCTGACGAGGAGAAATGAGGAAGCAGAGGCCAAAGAATAAGGTGCTGGCGGAGGAGGGGTTGGAGGGGAAAGGTAAAGATGATCGGGGAGTCTGAGATGGTGCCTGCCCATCCTTTCTATTCACAAAAGAATATTTTCAAATATTAAAAGAGACTCCTAGTCCCGATCCAGAAGCAAGCCGCCAACTGCAATCGGCATGGCTTGCTCCTGGAGGTCAGGGCAAAGAATGAATCAATAGTCGAGTTGAGGGCAACACGTGGTGGTAGAAGGTGACGTAAATGGGCGAGGGCGACGGGGCCATCTAGCCCACAGAGGGGCGAATGTAACAGAGTCTAAGTAGAGAATTGGAGACAAAGGCAGAATAAAGAGGCTTGAGAACCACAAAACACCGTGGGTTGAGATGAGGAAGAGGGAATGGTGATCACGACAAGGGATCAGGCGAAGGATATTAGACGAGGGGCACGAGGATGGAACGGGCTGGGAGACGCACATTTATCATGGCGACTAAGTAGATAAAAGGATATGAACATGATGGAGTATGAACGTGCCAGGGACAGATGTACCAACCACCAAGCACCAAGCACGAAGCACGAGGCAGTGGCCGGGTAGTGACCAACATCGGATGCACGCCATCTCTCGACGCATTCAACAATGACAAGATTGATAGGATGAGAGAGAACGATGACTGCAGGAGACAGACGTCAATACCGAGGCCGAGCGGGAAGTCGAAGCGGTTGATGAATGGTTTGAACTCGTATCAAATCATGGAGAGAAATGCTTATCGCCCGCAAGTTTCCGCCATGCAATTGATTGGACTGAAAGAACTGAAAGATTGTCCAGCATGAATCGAGTGACGCAAGATATCGCAGGATATCGCTTTGCATAAAGAGTGTGCATACGTACCTAGGTACATTTGAATGGATGTGTCTTGGGTGTATGCCGGAGAGAACATCAGAAAAGGACGTAAGAGCCACGTAACTCAGGAGATTTTTAATGCCCTAAACTCCCTAAGGAAATATCTCCTAAAGCCTCCTTACTAAAAATCCCTAAGTAGGCTCTCGGGCCCCTCCCCCGCCACCTCCTTAGACCCTCACTGACCCTCAGACGCCCCGATGTCAGAGCCCCTCGTGGCCCAGGCGTGCGAGTCATGCCACCCCCCTTCATTGGTCAGGCCTCCCTCTGTACGACATGTCAGCCCTATCTACACGTGACCGCAGCCTTCCCCAGCCCCGTCATCCATCATCCTTCATCCTTCATCCCCCATCCTCTCCTACAACTACACCCCTTCAGTCTTGACATGTGGTATGGCCGCTTGACTATCCTCTTTTGATGTTGCCGTCTTTGGTCCCAGCGTCTCGACATGCTCAGTGCCTACAATCGCTGCCATCTTGTCGAGCTCCCCGTCTTCCACAATCCCCGTCCCATCCGCAGTAATATGAACCACAACTTCATCTCCAAAGAGCGCTGCCAACTCTTCCAACGGAAGACCCTTGGTTTCCTTGATGAAGAAGTAAATGATCGCCCCACAGACCAGACAAAGTCCCATATATAAAAGGTACATCCGCCAGGCACTATGCCATATCAGTCAGCCATCAATTCAAGCCAAGTCCTCTAAACCTCAATGCAAACTCACATGTTTCGAAAGGCCAGTGCACTTGGCGTTGTATACGTGAGAGATCCCACGAAAAAGGCAAAGAAGCTCAAGCTGATTCCTTTGGCACGGTATGCAGTGGGCCATACTTCCGACGCCCAGATGAACGCGGGAGCATCGATGAGCTGAAACACAAGGATATAAACAAACAGGAATACCAAGCAGGCCGCAAGACCGCCTCTGTTGTCTGTCCCCAGAAACTGACTCTGCAGAACAGCCTGTATCATCAAAAGAACGGCGAGAACAGGATACCCCCATACTGTTCATAATTAGCCCCAGAGAACCGAGAACGAGACACCCCTTGAGGAGATCTATTTCTATACTTACCCAGCAATGACCGTCTGCCAACTCTGTCAACAATGAGTATGCTCATAAGAGCCATGCTAGTCCCGATTGTGGTCCAAACACCTGTTATTTGTCATGAGCACTTGAAGATCCCTTGTCTCGGTACCCATGTAACATACCATACATCACGAGGGGCAAGACCCCATCCAGCCCAAGTCCACCAAAGATGAGAGGAAGATAGTTCGAGATGCCGATGATCTACTCTCCAGTCAGCAATATCCAGGAAACCTCCAATCTCCAGACACCTACGCCAGTGGATGGTGTTGCAAATCTAGATATCAAGTCAATTTCCAATCCCGGTGACAGACTTCCAAATCTCGACTTACAATAAGAACATGCAGAGAAGGGCTCTCTTGCGCATGGACGGAATCTTAAAAATCTGGATCCATCCAACCTTCATTTCCCTGTCGTGTTCGACCTGAAGAACAATTTGAGTAAATTCAGCATGTGCTTGACGATCTTCTGGATCTTCGGTGTTATGATGAAGCCGGCGAAGCACAGCCCAGGCCTCTTCTTTCTTCCCCGTCCACACCAGATATCGAGGAGTTTCTGAATACACATCAGCAGAATATCTGGATAAACCTAGCACAAACTTACCCGGAATCGTCGGCAAAGTCAAGAGCAGAAGTAGCGGGGAAAGACAGGCAAGTCCAAGAGGTAGCCGCCACTGCACCGTCGCGTTGGCGTTGAATGTGCCAACTGCCACCCACGAGCACCTGCACAATCAATCAGAATCACCATTCCTCCTTGCAGAAGCCAGCGGTAGGGAACACTCTTACACCAAGTACCCAGTACCAAAGCTCAAGACCGTTAAACCAGCAATCAAACCTCGCTGGCGCGGAGGAGCCACTTCATTGAGATAGAGTGGCACCAAAGCAAGAATCATGCCCAAACCAAATCCTTGAAAAAGACGCACAGCAATCATCATGCCCACATGGACCGATCCTGCCACGAGAGCCGTCCCAATCAACGACCATGCACCCGCCACAGCAAGGGCAATCCTGCGACCATATTTGTCCGCAATCGGCGACTGGACCAAAGCGCCAAATGCAGCCCCAAAATTGAACAGAGCATTGGTCGCATCAAGAATGCGGGCCGTGTAGCTGGTCGTAGGGTCGAGTTCAAAATACTCGTAGAAACCTGGCTGTCCAATCGTCGTGACAAAGACGGAGAAGCCGAAGCCGTAGGAATATCCTGCAAAGCATATCACGGTGAATACCCAGGCGTTGTAAAGACTAGTCCTTGCCATTTCTTCAGAGTTTTGGCCGGAATGATGAAAGGTTTGTTCGAATTTACAGAGCTCCTAGTACTCTTGAGTTTACATGACAGGAGGGTCATAGTCTGTTGTTCTAATATATACCACTTATGCGAGTCCATCTTGGTGGTCCAGACCCGTGTGTTCCCCATGGGGGAGAGCATATTCTGTCCCCACCAGGGTATTGTACTGGATAGATAAACTGGGGAAATCCAAGGAGCCTAAGCAGCTAATTATTAAACAAGACGATCTTGAATCCATTTTACCGCGGGTGTCCTCTGAAAAACAAACAAGAATCCATCGGCAATGTGAACGGAATGAGGCACATAACCGACCGTTCATTCGAGGGCTGTGGCTTCGATGGTGGTGAGGAGGCCCCTCCCGCCCCTGAAGTTGAAAGCGAGAAGGTCCTTGAAGACGAGGAAAGCGATGTCTTGTCCGAGACACATTCGAAAAAAGGACTTGATTTTCTCAAAAATGTCGACCTCGACGAGTTTAGCATCCTTGACAATATCGTCAGTAAGAACGGCTATGTCGACGATCCAAAACCCGGCATTATGGCTTGGACGGAAGAACTCTATCTTCGATCCCGTGCTATAGAGTTAGGCACCTTCAGTGGAGTTATTCTCTCAAGTGCCTTCAAAGAGCAGTCTCGCAAATGGGAAGAAATGACAAGGTTCTACATCAGCCATGTGGTTGTGGTCATTCACCGTTTTATGGTCATTACTCTGGACACACTTTGTACCGACGCGCGGGTTCGTGAAGAGCTGTGGGCTTGCATTTCCGATGAAGTGCTCAAGAGGTACAAAGCAGCGATGGAACAAGCAACATTCCTTGTGTCGCTAGAGAGAAACAAAAGGCCATATACGGTAAACCGTTACTTCAACGAAAACCTTCAGCATGCCCGTGGTAATCGAAAGGCCAACGTGTTAAAATCAAAATCTCGACAAGAGATCAAGATGGAGTTCAATCTTCATCCCAAAATCACTGACAATCTCATCGTTGATCTTGACGACGTCAGAGAGACGACCAGAAGTCAGAGTAACGTGGATCACATCAAAGAAGAGATACATGACATCTTATTGTCCTATTACAAGGTTGCGCGCAAACGTTTCGTTGACAATGTTTACCAGCAAGCTGTCGATCACTGCTTATTGACTGGACCTATGAGTCCTCTGGCTGCCTTCACACAGGAATGGGTCCTTTCATTAGATGCTGAACAATTGGAATCAATCGCACAAGAGCTACCAGTTACAAGAGCACGTCGGGAAACACTGACGAGGAAACGTCATGATTTATTGACCGCTGTGGAAATATTGAGACGCTGAAGTAGCAGCGTGAGAATCACCGGTGTTCTTGTGAAAAGTCCATGCAAACACTCATATAGTGAGGGAGATATACCTACTTGATAGTCGGTTCCGGCAGGAACCATTTCGGATTTAATCTGTTGCTCACCAGCCTATTCCGCATTCACTTCCTATCATCCGCATGTGACCATGTCCTTGGACCGCACGATTCCATCTAATTGCCTTCAACTTTCGCCCGAGATGACAAAGTCTGGACGCCGAAGGGAGGGTCACCGGCAATCTACACAGAATGAGCGCGATAACCGGGTCGAGGGATCCACCCCCGCGCCCGTGTCCCGCCTAACCCTCCTCCTCCCCCAGATTCCATTTCTCCAGCCTTCTTCTAAGACTCCATGAACGGTCAGAATCCCAGGGCGTTCATTTCACGACACAGAAACACGTGGCTCACTCTTTTCGGTACTCCTCGTCCTCCAACGGCCCCAGAAACGCAATGTCAGAAACAGATCTTGCAGTAGTTCCAATGAACGTGGAGGACCATGCACCTCCTCTTTCTTTGACCATTGAATCAGACTGTTGGTATCAAGTCAAAGACCCCAGGAAAAGAAAACGGGTCCAAGATCGGCTGGCCCAACGGGCAAGGAGTATGTTAGGTATTCCCACATTTCGCACTTTGAACGGGTTTGACATGCGAGTTTAGGAAAGAGGCTTGCGGAATCTAGGCGTGCCTTGTTGAATTACCACACATCAAGGAACCTCGAGATAGTACAACGTTCAACAAGTCCTGAATCGACAATTGTCTGCTCCGATAGTACAGCCTCAAAGACCAGCCCATCGACTCAACCATCATCATCACCATCCTCAAGCGAAACCGAGCTCCTTCCCCAAACCTC